GGAATATTTTAATGAAGTTCTTCTACCTCGGGGTAAGGCAGGCAGGCATGCAAAACCATGATTTAAATCTAGTCTTACTGACTAGTGATTTAAACGGATTTGATTTAAATAAAATCCATCTGAGACCTTCTCTGACATTGAATTTGGCCCGCAGGCTGAAAACGCTCAGCACTCTTGCTTCATACATACTAATTGCAAACCTTTTTGTAATGGGACAGAAGGGGAGGAAACAGAAGAGCTGGGTCTCCCAGAAGTATGAAAAATGTATGGGGAGAAATCTTGAAGAGAGGGAGACACTGAAAAAGCTCAATAACAGCTGAGCATGCTCAAAGAACATGGAATAGTGATTGATCAAGGTAGCAGATGGAAAAGAAGGGGAAGGAGGAGCATATTTGGAATATTCCTGGGGCAGTAAAGGACCCAGATACCAGAACTCATTAAATAAGCCAGAGGCAGAGTTGAGGAAAGCTGGAAGTTGGGACTAAGATTACAGGGATGCATCCAAGCCTTGTTCAAGCAAGGGCTTCCTTTTCAACTGGAATGGAAAGTCCCTTCCCTTTCAGGAGAAGTCTGGATGGATAGAGTCAGTCCAGCATCTGCAGGTATGTGAGGACATTAATTGTGAGTTTAGCAGCAAGATCGTCCCCCTTTATTTTACTCTAGAGTAGGACAGTGTGCCCAGTCTTGATCGAGACCCTAGGATAGAGGGACTTTGATCTGTACTGTGGTGCTTACGCAAACTTTAAATTAAAATGGAGGGCAAAGATATATCTGGTTGGTACAAATTTAAAGCAATGTCTATTTTAGCTCTTCCTAAGAAGCTGCTGCCTGCAGTTCAGAGGTTCACTCACGGGGCACTTCACTCAGCTCCTCACAGTTGCAGGAATGACTCCATCTGCTCAGGCTGCCCGTTGGCCATCCTCAACAGGAAAGGCTAGAGCAACTTCACATTGGAAATTTCCTGGGTCATTGTAACCTGGTTGGTGTATCCCTTGTCATGGTTAGCACCTTCCACTGACTGCTTCCCCACAAGCTTGGTTTGGGTCACCTTTGATCATTGTAGGCATACCTTGAATTAGGACATCAGTGGAACTCTAGTGGTGGTCTGATTCTTTTTTGTGTTCCTGGGACCTGCCGTTTCCCTTAGAGATGGACAGACCTGGCCATCTTTGTCTTGCGAGATCGTTGGGGGATTTTGAGGTCAAGCTCATTCATTTTCATTTTTGCATGTACTCATGCCCTTTTGTAACTGTACAAAGTTTGTACATGTTTTTCATAATGTACACATTAATGTATTCAATTTTTGGACATGTGCACCCATTGACTAAGTCATGTTAGAATACGTTTTTTCAAATATGCTCTTGTTGAATGCATTGCTTGTTGCAGAATGCATTGCAAGCATGGAAATTTACAATTTCCATCTGCAAATTATGCTTGTGCCCAAGAGACAATTGGATTAATCCATTTATAAAAACCTGGGTGGTACCGATTTCTCACACACCCTTTATATGTTTGGAAATGAAACTTCTTAGGGGTGAGGGTGACTTTAATGAAAATGAGTAGACTATGAGTAATCTGTAGTTTGTAAAAAGAGACGTTAAGTTAATGCTGACCTTTAGCAGAGGTTCTTAATGGTTTTTGACTTGGGAACAGATGTTGACTTACTCTGATGTTCCTTGCTGTCCTTCTCAAACGGAAGAATTACTGGCAAGTCACAGCGTTCCTGAAATGAACAGATTATATATTTTGGAGCTTTGTCTTTGTTTTGCTTATCAAAAGGTCCCACATTTGATTTGTGTAGCTCAAACGGCATAATGTCCAGGGGTGACACATACTGAGATCCAGTAATGTGTCACTTCCTTTAAAGTAAGCAATGGACTTCAAAGAATTCTTTAAGCCAAACTCCTGGAAGAGTTGAGTAAACAGCAGCTTTGGAATTGGCAGTGGAGAGTGTAGAAACGGCTGCCTTGTTCCACAGTCAAATAGGAGTGAAGTGATAAGAGGTGTCTGTTGTGCTGATCGAAATGGCTTTCTCTGGATGCCTGTAAGACAACAGTGACAGCAATATCTAGGCAGTGCGCACACCCACACACGTACACACACCAGTCAAGAACTGTTTCTCCCCTTAGCAATTTTCTGAAGGGTATTCCAGTAGAAAGGATGTGAAATTCCGTGCAGAAGAATAAGGTACTTGTTTGTGTGGATTTATCTCAATTCAAGTGATTCTTAAGGGATTGTTCTGTTCATGCGTCACACCAAATCAACAAGAAGTTCCTGTAGATACCATAAAGACTAGCGTACGCTTTTGTGGTCTGTAGCCCATTTCATCAGAGGCATGGAGTATTATCCAGAAGATTTTGTTTATATTTATGTACTGGTGATAACTGAGGCCTTTGAATTGTGCTGGAGAAGACTCCTGAGAGTCCCTTGGACTGCAAAGAGATCAAACCAGTCAGTCTTAGAGGAGATCAACCCTGACTGCTCTTCAGAAGGCTAGGTACTGAAGATGAAACTCAAATACTTTGGCCACCTAATGAGGAGGAACAACTCGCTAGAGAAGACCCTAATGCTGGGAATGATTGACGTCAAAAGGAGAAGGGGACGGCAGAGGATGAGGTGGCTGGATGGAGTCACTGGGGCAGTGGGTGTGGGCTTGAGTGGCTCCAGGGGATGGTGGAGGACAGGAGAGCCTGGAGAAATGTTGTCCATGGGGTCGCGATGGGTCGGGCACGACTTCGCAACTGAACAACAAAACAGCTGGTGATAACAGAAGAATATAGTAGAAATTGTCAGGTGCAGAGCGGAGGAATGGTCAACAGTGAGGCCTGAAGGAAATTGAATGCAAGAAGTACTGAAGTGACAATTGAGTTATTAAGTGTGGCCAGACACAGTGCGGTCATCCTTGATGACTCAACTTGCGGCAACCCAGATCCAGGCTGAACATCAGGAAAAGCTTCCTCACTGTCAGAGCAATATGGCAGTGGAACCAGCTGCCTGCAGAGGTGGTGGGCTCTCCCACACTGGAGACATTCAAAAGAAACTGGACAGCCACCTGAGCGGGATGGTGTAAATGGGTGTCCTGCAACAGCAGGGGGCTGGACCCAGTGGCCTTCACGGCCCCTTCCGACTCTGCTGTGCTGTGATTCTATGAAACATCCTGGCACCGGCCCAGCCAGTTATCACACTCGTCGTGTAGGTGGGGAAAAACCCAATTCAAGCTTTTGGCAATAGAATTAAGCCTGCTGATGAATTCGCATTCAGCAACCTTTTGCTGTGATCCTCCTTTGACGTTTCCTGGCTCCACTGGGACTATTTGACCATCCATGGCAGCGTCATGGGGGTTGCTGCATTCTCCCCCTGGTTTTTGAATGTTGTTATTTCTGATTCAGGTTTGAAACCATTTATGCTTTTTTCCCTAAGAGGCTGACCTATTTGCCCCTTGTAGAAGCATTGACTCATACTGCCTTGGAAGATCTGCAAGTTTTATAAGAGCCTGTACCATAATATGAGCTTTTTCTTTTGCCATCATTATGAAAATATTTTGTCTTCTGCTTCAGTTGGGTGAGGAAAGCGTTCCCCTCCTAAAGCAGGGAAACATTTTTTTCATTCTGCTCTTAAGAGCACTGATGTATAAGTGTCCTGAAACGTTGATGCATGCTTTTGCCAGCTCAGCCAGCCCGATCAAGCTCTTCAGTATATTGAGAGGGCAGGCTGACGGCATCTTTGCAAAGCTGGCATGGGTTGCCACGGACATGTGACTACGCTACCAGGCGGCAATTGAAGGTGCATTTAAATTCATTCTGCTGCCACTGCACAGCAGAATGAATGAACATAATTAAACAGTTTTAAGAATTCAAGCTGCAACAATCCAGATTCAGGCTGGACATCAGGAAGAGCTTTCTCACTGTTAGAGCATTACGACAGGGGAACTAGCTGCCCGGAGAGGAGGTGGGCTCTCCCACGCTAGAGACATTCAAAGGAAACTAGACAGCCAGCTGAGTGGGATGTGTAACTTGGTGTCCTGCAACATCGGGGGTTGGACTCGATGGCCTTCATGGCCCCCAATGTCTCCACTATTCTATGATTCTATGATTCTAACATTTCTAGACGCCTTTTTAACTTTTTAAGAGTTTCTTTTTAACAGGAAACCTGATGATAAAGAGAATGTTGAGTTTAACCCAAGCATCTTAAATCTGTTCTCTTAATTCCTTTGCTAAATGGAAGATCGTCTGCCAGACTCAGTGGCCCAGTCTGTAAGACCAGCTGGCCAGAGTTCCCTAAGTATCCACACTGGCACAGCATGTCATCCGAATCCACACAGCGTGTCTTGTTCGAGGTACACGGCAACCTTCAGATAACTCATTGCCCACCCCAACCAAGCTGGGCTGCCCAGGACTGGATCACATGGCAAGTTGCACCAGGGTGGCTCATTGGGGAAATCTGGCCAGCACCACACACCTATCATGCACTGCAGCTGCCAAGCACCATGGGCAGTTGCTTCAGCCACTAGGGTCATGCAGACTAGGTCACTGAGTTGCACGGTTTTTCTCTGGAAATGATTGATTCCAGAGCAAAAATATATGATCCTGAGGAAAGGAGCTGGCCCTTTTCAGGTCAGGCTATTTTGTCTGATTCTTCTGGGATTGCCTGCTCCACCTGGAAGCCCTCCAGCGTCAGGGTAGAGATCAGTTCTTAATTGTAAAAGTGGCAGCTGGCTTGGAGTGCAGGTGACCCGGTGGAAAACAGTTTTGTCAGATTTACCGATTTGGGTTCCTGTGTGTGACTTGGTGTGCAGCTAAGGTCATCTTTGTGTGAGCTTCATGTCCGAGCGCAGAAAATGATCTTGTGCATGGAAAAGAGTAAATTGCCTTTCAGAGTTTCTGAAAGCCTTCCAGGCTTGGGTTTCTTACTTGGAAAAGTGGATAGCAAAGTAGGAAGCACCCGTAACACTGAGCACCTGTGTTTCTCTGCTCTACGCACCCGTTCCCCCTTTTCCACAGCTCCGGTTTAGAACAGCAACTAAGTTGCCAGCCCTGCTAGACATCAGACAAAGGACTTGCCTCTCACCCACCGGAGTGATGGCACTCCCCTTCCAGAAAGACTTGGAGAAGTACAAGGATCTCGATGAGGATGAGCTCCTGGACAAGCTGACAGAGGAAGAGTTGAAACAACTGGAAACGGTCCTGGATGACCTTGATCCAGAGGTGGGTATTGGGCCAAGTGGATGACAAACGCTCAAGTTGCCTAGCGCCAAGGACAAGTTTATCCCCAAAAACAGCGGGTTGGTTCCTCCAGAGTTCCCTTAGGTAGAGCCAGCTACTCCCAAAGTGCAGCCTTCCAAGTTTCTTTCTTAAGAAACTAAATCTGAATTGGAAGAAGAGGTGGGGTTGGCATTCTTAGCTGAAATGCGAAGAAGGCCCCAAGATAAGCCAGAAGGCTGGCGAGAACTAGACCCCATCTGGTTCTGTCGGAAACTTCACTGAGGAGGGCAATGTAACATGATCAGTCCTATAGTCCAAAGCCCGGTCAAAAGGGTGGAACGACTGAGTAGTATCTGGCCCACGAGCTATAAGATTCTCCCTGGGAGTAGTGCTGGCTCCTTTTGCTGGGAGAGGAGAGCAATTCAGTTGGCAAGCAACTTCTTAGCTGTAGGCTGCATTTCCCTACTCTCTGGTGTTCTAACGTCACTAGTGTCTTTTGTTAATGGTTTCTGCATTACTCTTCTTTCATATTAGCCTAGCGGGTAAGTTAGAAGCCTCTTGTCTTGATCTCTTAGAGGCCCTTCTTTCCATACAGAAGGTCCAAAGTTCAGGCACCAAGGAGGGTTCAGAATGAATTCTGCCTGAAGCTCTGAAGAGTAGGCGCAAGCCTGCGTTGACAGAAGTGTGCTGAATTGGCCAAGGGTCTGTAGAAGGCAGTTTGCTACGTTCTTTAACACGGAGGCAGGTTTCTCCAGCCTGGTGCCCCCTGATGTGTTGGAGTACAACTCCCATCATCCCCAGCAGCCTCATTTCCAGAGGACTGGGTGGGACTGCCTCCATGGTATTGCACAAGTCCGAATGCATCCCTGGGGGACCTGCAGTTGGACTAAAACATCCCAGCCGTTCTCAGCAACTGGCTGGACTGACTGGGATTGATGGGGACTGGAGTCAAACCATATCTGGAAGCCCGCAGATTTTGCACCTCTTCCCTAATGGCTTGCTGGCCCCAGCAGAAATGCTTGTTTTGTGCATGCCTAATGGACTTAATCTATGAACGAAGGTGAGGATACAGAATGCTTGGCTATTTATTATCAATAAATGGCTCCTGTAGGTCATTGTTTGTCTAACTGAATGTGTGTGTGAGACAGAGACCACCCATCTCTTTTATTTTGCAGAATGCACTGTTGCCAGCGGGGTTCCGACAGAAAGATCAGACTTCCAAAACTCCTTCTGGTCCTTTTGACAGAGAAAAACTGCTGGCGTTTTTGGAGAAGCAAGCGCTGGAGCAGAAGGATGTGGAAGACATTGTCCCATACACAGGAGAGAAGAAAGGTGAGCCCTGCCCTCCGTTTTCTTCAGCACACGCATCCACGGCCTGGCGTGTGCGGCTCCGGTCAGTCCTACAGGGTCATTACTGGAGGGCTGCCCCCTCCTTTTGCCGGGGGGGGGAGCACAGTGCAGATTTGGCACATGGGCCGCTGCACATGGGGCCAGAGCATTTGGCAGAGGGGACGGGAGCCCGTCTGTGGCTGCATCCACCTCTAAGCTAGGCAGATACAAACCAACATAGATCGTCCTGAGAAAAGTCTGACACAGGCCAGGTTAAATGAATGGACTGTTCAGCAAATATAATTAGGCTTCCAGAAGGGCAGTGGCAAGCCAGGGTCCAAAGGCTGATAACACGGAGGTCCAGAGTCAAGCCAAGGTCAGGATACAAGATACCGAAGCTGCAGCGAGCGCATTGTTTCTTCCATTGTCTAGGCTGACCCGGAAAGCTTTTATCGCCAGAGCAACCCTAATGCCACCCAGGGCTTAGCTGTAATTCATTGTAATCCTCTGGCATGAGTCCATTCCAGCCTTCCCACTCTTGTGTCCTCTTGAGGTGTCCTCTCTGTAATCAAGCCCTCCTCCGAGAAGGCCCACAGGCCTGCCTCTTGAGACAGTGATTCTCCAAAGGAGCGTGGACTTCTCTGCCTTGGAGGTGAAGCCCCCTGGCCCATTGCAGGAATGGATCTGCTGCCACCTCTCTGAGGGTCTGTCCTCTCCTTTTCTTCTGATCTCTGGCAGCTGTGTTGCTGTTCGGTCGCAAAGTCATGCCTGACCCTTCACAACCCCAGAGACAACATTTCTCAGGTTTTCCTGTCCTCCACCATCCCCCAGAGTACCCCCAAGCTCACACCCACCTCTCCAATGACCCCATCCAGCCACCTCAACCTCTGCCGTCCCTTCTCCTTTTGCCTTCAATTGTTCCCAGCATTAGGGTCTTTTCCAGTGAGTCCTTCCTTCTCATTAGGTGGCCAAAGTATTTAAGCTTCAGCTTCAGTATCTAGCCCTCTAAAAAGCAGTCAGGGTTGATTTCCTTTATGATTGACTGATTTGATCTCTTTGCAGTCCAAGAGACTGTCAGGAGTCTTCCCCAACACCACATTTCAAAAGTGTCAATTCTTTGGTGCTCAGCCTTCCTTATGGTCCAGCTCTCGCAGCCATACATTACAACTGTGAAAACCAAAGCTTTGTATAGCTTTGATTATACAAACCTTTGTTGGCAGGGTGATGTCTCTGCTTTTTATTGTGCTGTCTAGATTTGCCATAGCTTTCTTCCCCAGGAGCAAGTGTCTTTTAATTTCTTGGCTGCAGTCCCTGTCTGCGGTGATCTTGGAGCCCAAGAAAATATAATCTGTCGCTACCTCCATTTCTTCCCCATCTATTTTCCAGGAAGTGAGAGGACCAGATGCCATGATCTGAGTGTTCTTAGTGCAGCTCTAGCTGAGGTCTGTTCCTCCCATGGGAGCATGGCAAGGGGTCTCCTTGGCTCCTGCACCACAGGAATGGGTTTTGGAGTTCTTCTTGTGGCTTATGGGCATGTGGCTTATGGTGATGCTCTTTGCAGTATCAAGGAGAAGATACTTGGAGGGCTTCTCTCCAGGGAATGATGTGTACCTTCTTTACCTACGGTGGGATTTTTGCAAAAGGGTCACATGCAAAGCATGCCCTCAGAGGTCTTTTGGGGCCTGGGTTTTGAGAAACAGGATTAAGGCAGCCACCTTTCTAGTAAGAGCAAAGTATTTTTTTAATGAGTTGCTGTGGTGTGAATCCTTGGTTGTTGGTGTAACGTACAATGAACCACTGTTGCTCAAGGAGAAGGCTGGCGTAACACACTTCCTTTCATGGAATGACATTTAAAAATTTAAATTTCATTAGCTGGACAATGGGAGCTTTGTGGCTGGCGGTCTGTGAATATGAAAACCGTGTAAACATCCTTGTCCTGCAAGTGAGAGCGCCGGGCCACTCAAGCAGCAAAGGCGTTACGGGATTGCTTTTCTGCCTGATGCTCACACCCTGTACCTCCTTGGCCAAGTTGCCAGCTTCAGATTCAAGCCGACTAGAAACGGATTGATGAATGCCTAGGACAGCGTGCAGTGCTTTGGGGTGCCTGTCTCCAAAAAGGCGATTGCCTAGCCCTGCCAGCCTGAGCGACAAGCAGCCTGATGTTTATGAACTCCTAGGCTGTAATCCTGAAGATGCAAATGTCGTTTCGGGTGGTTTCCACCTCCTTTAGCAGAACTCTCACACCCCCTCTAGGCCCCACGTGCTCAGATGTTCCCCCTTGCTTCTTGGTTCATAATAATTATCGCTTACCGTGGCTTCTGGCTCTGTCAAGCCATGGTTATCACCACCCATCCCTGTGTTCTCTGAGGCAGGTTTCTAGTTCTAGTGTAGAGGCAAGTTAATGGGTTTATAGCAAGACCAGGGGGCCTGTGGCCCTGCGGATACTATTCGACTTGAGCTCCCATCAGCCCCAGCTAGCCCAGAGATGATGAAGCTGGTATGTGACAACAACCAGAGGACCATAGATTTCACGGTGGGAACTATAGTTTGGCCAAATGAATTCCATGGCAAGTTGCAAACCAAGAAAGTGAGGAGAATAGAAATAAATGAGCCAGGGAAGGAGCACATGAGCCCAAGGCATGGTCCTGATGGTGGCCAAGAGAGGGAGAAAGAGTATTTGCTTATCCACTTTGATCACACTGTGCAAATTCTAAGCACTGTTGGTGGATGTGCTTCAGTTCTCCTTGACGCTCTTCGCTAGGTTCCAGCGCGTCTCCCTGGTTCAAAATAAGCAAGCCCCACATGGTGCCATATTTAAATGAAGCACATGTCCACGCCTTGTCAGCAAGACAAGTTCCCTGGCTGCTGTGCAGGTTCGTGCAGAGATACATCTTCCGTACAATGTTTGTATCGGTCTGTCTTGAGGAGAAAGACTCCCAAAGAGCTCTCTTGGCCTTCTTCCAAGCCATGAAGTCATTGTTTCCAGGCACTGACGATTGATTCTATTTTACTTGATTCTGCCCTCGGAGTGACTGAACAATAAGCTTAAGTTTTTGACGTACTGGCTCACAACCTGGAAAGGACACTTGGGTTTTTCCAGAACAGGAAGAAGGGAGGGTTTGAACAAGCGAAGGCTTGCTGTGAGCACCCGTCGGCCAAACTAGCATTTGCCCCAGGGTCCCTCTGGTGGCAGGGCGCCACCCCCACCCCCAGAGCAGGATAGGATTGATTGTCACACTTAAGCAGAGGAAAATAGTCTCCTCTTTTTGGGATATACAGCCCTTTAGTTGGAAGCAGCCCTGTTGAATTTAGTGGGACTTGCTCCTAAGTCAGGCGGGCAAATAAGCCTTTTTCATTTCTTTCTTTATTTTAAAACAGCGTTTTTGTTGCTCATCCTGATCATCCAGGATTGCCATCTTGGGGCCAAAGCAGTCATTGCACAGCAGCCAAAAGACATCCCCTGTTTCTTGGGAGGCCTGTCAAGGAAGGGTGTTTAATTCTCCTCTTCTTGGTACTTTTCCGCATTCAGATTCCTTCCCCCACCAGCTGTTGTCTCCTGAAATGGCCCCTCTTGTCTCCTTGTCTGCCTGCAAGTTGCTTTCCTTCCCCTGCTGGAAAAACATGGAAATAGATCCCTGATCTCTTTTCCTTCCGGGACACAAAAGCCATTTCTGGGCATGGTGGAGCAAGGGGCTACCATTTTGAACAGAACAACCAGGTGGAGTGGGGAGCATTAGGCAGCTTCACCTGCCCGCAGGTGGTGACCACCTGGGGCCGGGGGGAGAGCTAGAAGAGGGCCCAGAGGAAAGGCACAAAGCTGTTCATGCAACTCCTGTTTCTGAGGAAGGGCCTCAGCTGAGGGGTAAAGCCCTTGGCCTGCCTGTGCAAGGTCACAGGTTAGATTTCCAGCATTTCTCCTAGATACACCTGGAAAAATTCCCACCTGATCTCCTAGAGAGCTGCTGTCACCAGTCTTCATCTCCAGCACTGGGCTAGGAGGCCTCATTCAGGCTAGGGCAGTTTTCCTGGGCCTTGAAAATTTGGCAACATCTGCAGATTTATTTCTCCTTAAATTTCTTTCAATTGCCTTTGTTCTTGCTTCCTATTGAAGAATTTTACATTCTGTTTATTTCTCTGAAAGTAGGGAAATTTAAGAAATAAATAAAGTGACTTGATGTGACACGGCACATTCAGCCACATGGTTGCTGCCATGTAGTTTGGACAGTGCATGGAACAGCAGATTGAGTGCCATCTACTGCATTATGTACAGTGCGCTCATAGGAAAAGCATGCATGGTTCCTGTTCTGCTGCTGTGCATCCGTGATTCATGCCTTCAGAGCACCATTTTTCAGGCTTTGTCTGTGCATATGATTGCTCTTCCGAATGGACCTGGAACACTGATATGTACTTGAGTTGGAGGTGGCATCCAGTTATCTCATCGGATTGTTGAGCTGGGTGTAGATCTTTTTTTTTTTTTTTTTGGTATATTGTTTAGGACCACAACTCTTAGAACTCCAGAGCATTAGCCATGCTTTCCAGGGCTAATAGGAATTAAAGTCTAAAACAGATGAACGATGTTAGGTTGAGTAAGGATAGGCCTCTTCTCGTGAGTGGGCAGACCCTGTTTGGCTTTGGAAGGACCAGTCAGAAAATTGGGTTCATTGGGAGTATATAGCAGCTTTGACCAAGCTGGTGCCCTCCATGAGTAGGACGACAACTCCCACCAGTGTACGGAACTGGTTCTGATGGCTGGAGCTGATGGGAGTCCAGTTCAGCAGCATTGGAAGGGCCACGCATTTCCTATCCCTTAAAACAGTTGAGCCCAGGAATGGAGAACTTGGTGCCCTGTAGGTGTTTTGGACTACAGCTTCCATCATCTTTCCCCTTTAGGTATGCCAGCTGGGGCTGCTGGCCAAAATATCTGCAGGGCTACAGGGTGCATCACTGCAGACATTCCAAGGAAAAGCCGGTTCCCAGTCCTACACTGTGGCCTCCTACGGCGTAGAAGTCAAGTGGATGTTTGCTTTAGTGTGCCCCAAGGGCTACCCTCCTGGAGAAGGTTTCCGCCATCTCCTTGTGCTTGAGACATGGGCAAGCTCCATGGGAGCTGTAGGTGGCTGGCCAGCTAAGAGTTACAGAGTGGAGAGGGCTCTGGGTGGGCATTAGCAGAGCCCACCCTTGGCATTGGTGAGGGGCTCTTGGGAGGAGTCGTCTGCGAAAGCTAATGGTGAGTGGAGCATGGCAGGTTAATTCTAGAGGTCCTTGCATGCAAAGTGTTGGTCATATCCTGAAAAGCGGCTTCTCTGTCTCTTGAACAGGGAAGGTGTTTATTCCCAAACAGAAGCCAGTTTCGTCTTACGTGGAAGAAAAGGTGACTCTTGATCCAGAACTGGAGGAAGCATTGACAAGCGCTACAGACACCGAGCTCTGCGACCTTGCAGGTTGGTGGGAGTTGTTCCCTTGGTTCCCTTTTCCGGAGGCATGCGTTTGCCTCAGGGAGCCTAGATGAGGGAGGCTTGCAGGTCACGGTTGTTGGGCCAGGCTTGAGGGACCCGGGCTCAGAGGTCTCAAGTCGGCCGTATTGCGCTGATGCCGCTGGTTCCTCTGCCTCCAGGCTCAGCTCGCTGCCAGTCCACCAGGTTCGTGACCAGTGGCCCTTCACGCATTCCTCTGAATCTCGAAGCCCACTCCCCACAAGGGGCTGCGGGGTTGGGGAGGAATGCTCCAGTGGGCCACCTTGTTTTTGGTGCAAGGAATGCGATACTTGTGCGCCTTTACCTGCAAAGAAGCCTGGGGTCTCCAAACACCTGCTGGTATTCTGCCAGGAATGGTTGGCTGGATCGGACCCATTCCCTGTCCAGGCAATGGCCAGCAACAGAGCAGAACTCTGTCCATGCCCTGGTCGGGACAAGCAGAGAGGGTGCTTAGTGGGAGTTCAGTGTCACGGTCTGCAGGATCACACATTCGTCCTCCTGACAGGCAGACAACAACACCGAGAGCAGTGGCATTCCTACATGGGACATCCTGCTGCAAACTCGTGTCTTGTTTAAGCAGCACCTCACAAAATTCCATTAATTTTTTCTCTCTTTTCCTTTCTCCCTACAGCTATTCTTGGAATGCACAACTTGTTAAGCAGCTCCCAGCTGTGTAATATCATAGGAAGTAGCAACGGTGTCAGCAGTGATGGTTTCTCAAGTGGGTATTAATGCTGAAAGTCTAAATAAAACGATGAGACCCCTTTACATGGAAGGGCAACCAATGGTGGGTTGATTCACCTACAGTTTGCCACAAGGCACGCCAGGTGCTATCTGTGGCAAATCGTAAGCTGATTAACCCACAGTTACGTGCAAACCATTGTCTGTTGTGAAACCCACTGCCTGTTCTGTTTTCTGGCCACTGGGCATTGAGTAACATGGCTATGATGATAAAAGCTGTAAGATGTTAATGCTGAGCATCCTGAAGACATAAAGAATGTATGATAGTCTTCCTAAGTGTAGTTTTGGAAATGCATTATGATTAGGTGTGAACTAAGGTTACTTCTAGGGGGATTTTAGTAACTGGATGAAGAAGAACATCAGGAACATGGTGAGTGAGGGATATAAATTTATTCAGTGAAGGAATCACCCTGTTGCCAAAACTCTTAGGGCAATGCAAATAACAAATGCAAAATCAGTGAGCCAGTGATGAGAACACTGGAAGTAAAACACATTACAAAGTGTTGCTATAAATTGGGCAATAAGGTTCAGCACTAAAAGATAAATTATTGAGCTGCCAAAAATATAGAGAAGATTCATTAAAATGCAGCGTGTAACACTTTAAAAACAAAGCAAGCCAAGCAGAGCTAGCTTCTGCCAAATCCGGGGGATGTCTCAGCCCTTGCTCCTCGTGAGGAGTGGGAAAACTTTTGGATAGGGGAGGGCACTCGATTGGCTGGCCAGGGCCTTCCGAGTCTGGACTATTATGGGCAGGCATGCAGGGTGGCACCCTAAGGGACAAGACAGCTGCTGCTTTACTTAACCCTGCAGGGTTAGTTAGTTCAGGCTTAGTTAGTATTGGCATCATTTCTGACGCAAGTGATAACTGAGTTTGTGTGATTTCTGTTCACTGCTCCTCTGTTAATTCAGATGTAGTCAAAGGTGAAAAGATGGTTCCAGTCTTTGATGAGCCACCGAATCCCACAAATGTTGAGGAGAGTTTGCAGAGGATTAAGGAAAACGATCCTCGCCTTGTTGAAGTTAATCTGAACAACATAAAGGTACCCATCCAGCGGAGAAATGTACAGAGATGTTGCTTTTGAGAGCTGTCGTTGCTGTTTTGTGTTGATGTTATCCTGTTTTTGCTTACATTCAAGAATATTCCCATTCCAACCCTGAAAGAGTTTGCGAAGGCACTGGAAACAAATACCCACTTGAAGAGCTTCAGTCTTGCAGCTACTCGGAGCAACGACCCTGTTGCTGTTGTAAGTTGAGATATCCAGTTTTGCTACTACTGTGTCCATCCTGTGGCTGGACGGGAGATCAGTGGAGCCAAAAAGGTGAATGGCTATGCAAAACCGTGCTGTTAAGGTGGAAAGTGGCATGTGACAAAGAAGAACCCTGCTCTGGGAACCCTCCCTAAAAGAGGTAAAAAGGTCATCAACTCAGAGTAGGGCCTTCTCTGTGGTGGCGCCCAGATTCTGGAATGTACTCCCCAGAGAGGTACACCTTGCACCAAGCTTATACTCTTTTCAGCGCCAGGTCAAAACCTTTTTATTTAAACAGCATTTTAAAATCAATAGCTTTTACTCTGCAGTCGCCATTGTTTTGTTTTGTGATTTATTGTTTATTGTTTTATATATTACTACTGTTTTAATTCATTTATTGAAAGTTGTTGTTGTTTTAAATTGTTCTTTTAAAGCACTGTATGCTGTCCTGAGATATTTATATAATAGGATGGCATATAAAAGCTTTTATAAATAAATTTAAAAAATAAGTGTTTAAAGGTTGACCATTGACACCTGTCCGGGCTTAGCCAAGCGCAGAAATAGGATGTCATTAAGGGACAAGCCCTGACAAAGGTTAGGCTGGAGAAAATGATCTGAGATGGGCGGTGGACCAGTTCCAGAGGAAGGAAGCCATTCAGCACTTTCTCCCAGTGATAAGTCACTCAGGCAGAAGAACTAACTTGTTTCTTAGAGCTTCATCCAGCATTCAGGGTGGTGCCAAAGCCAGACACCTTCGTGCTGAATCATGTAGCCAGGTTTGCAGGGAGGGCAAGGTTCTAGAGAAGAGGAACTATTCAGCACTGTTGAAAGGCAGTGGGAGGAGGGGGAGGCCTTGAACAGGACCCCCCACCACCTTGCAATGCCTTTAACTTGAGATTTACAGACATGCCCTTATTCTTACCTGTTGCAGCTAGGTAGACCTGGCTTCTAGCCTTTCATAACCTGGTGCTCATCGGATGCAGCAGATGATTGTCTGGGCCTCCTGGGAGTTGTAGTCCAACAATCTGGAGGAAACCACATCCAAAAGCTGCTTCATTGTGCCTTGCTTTCCGTACCATCTAATTTCTGGAATGCTCCGTTGTCTTTCAAGGCTTTTGCAGACATGCTGAGGACCAACAAAACACTGACGAGCCTGAACTTCGAATCCAACTTCGTCACCGGGGCAGGCATCCTGGCACTGGTAGATGCACTCAAGGAGAACGAAACCCTGACCGAGATCAGAATCGATAACCAGGTCACGCTGACTTCTTCTTTTTGCAGAGTTTAACCCTGATGGTCTAAATGAAAGAAAAGCTGTCTCAGGACCAAGGCTCAATCAGAAAACCTGAACACCTCTGTGAGGTCAGGGAGAGAGGAGAGCTTTTCACATCCTTCCACCGTGCTGCTGATATTTTGAAAGCTCCGGGGATGTGATGCTGGAGATCAAGGGGAAAGAAGGTCATGGACCATTGTGGGTTTGGAAGTAAGAGAGCCGGGGTGAAGCGACAGTGAGAGTGTTGGACTGGGACTCGAGAGACCTGGTTTGAGATGCCAGGTGGCCAGTCATTGACACTCAGCCTAGCCTACCTCACAAGGTAGTGGTGAGGAGAAAATGGAGAGAGAGAGAGGACCATTTAAGCTGCCTCAGATACCTTGCAAGAATAAAAGGGCAGGATACACATGTAAAATGAAGTTAAAAGAAAGAAAAAGAGAAGCTCCCAGGACTCAGCAGTGTAAGCCATGTGGGTGTGAGTCTGAGCGGCTCTTTGGGACCCAGACATGGCGTTGGGGCTTGTCTGTTTGGATGACTCTGGAATGTGCTGTCTGGGGTCAAGGTTGGTAAGGCCAGTAGAGTGAGAGAAGGTGGGAAGAAAGGGGGCAAGGAGAAGGAAAGGGAAGAGAGTGCGAGGAGAAAAGCACCCATTTTTTGTTCTCATCCCACTCTGCCAGTATGTCCCCTCGGACAGTTGAGACCCCTTAACAGGAAAAGGGTGTCTCACCACAGTATAAAGTGCATGTTTTATCCCATGGTTAAAATGTATCATGGTCTTTATTGACAATGGGTTACTGCCACATATCACACGCACTGTTTCGCCTTGATCGTCTGGAGGAAGACTGCCCCTTCCCAACAGTGCCATTGCTGAGCGACCGTCCCTGTCACGGAGCGCAGCCCCGTTGTGGTGAATGACTGGCAGTTACTGATTTCCTGCAATTGCTTCTTCCAACAGAGGCAGCAGCTGGGGGCCCCAGTGGAGATGGAGATTGCCAAGATGCTGGAGGAAAACACAAAGATCCTTAAATTTGGATATCACTTCACACAGCAGGGACCACGGACCAGAGCAGCAAATGCAATTACAAAAAATAACGATTTTGGTAAGATCATCCCTGCTATAGAAGGAGGAGATGCCAGATGCAGCAGGGTTAGCACTGCTTTGCATTCTAATAGGAATGCGCCCATAATCATGAATTTTAGGTAAAGTTGTTGCTGGATTCTTTATGGACCAGGCCTCCTCATAGACATGTTTCCCTTACACAATTATTTCTTTAAAATATTGTCAACTTCACACAAGGAGGTAAGAGGAGCTACGCAGGATGAGCCAAAGGCCTATAAAGTCCATTTATAGGGACATGGGTTCAACAAGTCCTTCTGTTTGACTTGTTGGGGCATTATAATATCTCAGATAATGAAGAACTGGGACTTGGGGGGCATTATAATATCTCAGATAATGGAGCTCACATACAGCCATCATTACTGGTAGTGATTGGCCGCCTTAACCTTCTTTAAAACCATCCTGCCATCACTGCATCTTGTAGTAGCAAATTCCATAGTTTAGCTAGCTGTTGTGTGAAGATACCTTTCCTTTCAGCTTTTCTGAACCTTGCAACCTTCAACTTCATGGAATGACCCCAGGATCTAGTACTGTGAAAGAGAAACTTCTCTCTAGCCACTTTCTTCACACCCTATGGTCCTTATCTCTTTGATGGGGAGCTGTGAATAATTAGTTTTTAAGCAGTCCTTAATTAATTCATTGTTAGTCCTTCAGTGGCTGCTATCACACCATGGTATCCAGCCTCTTAAGCTGAGATGCATGCAAACGTTTAGCTTGCTTTCACTTTTTTCTTTGTTGTGACCCAGGATTTATACCAAGAAGCCTCTAAATAAGCACAGTTTCCCATTTTGGAACAAGCCAGGATATTAAACCCACTTCCAATTATGGCTTACTATTCTGGCTTGTTCTGAAGCTAGTAAGCACCATTTCCCATTTGGGTGACACAGGAAACTATGATTAATTAGAGACTTCCTGTTTTAGTTTCAGCGTGCAGCAAAGAGGGCAGACACCACAGGCAAAACGCTTGTGCACATCTCAGCTTAATGAGTGGAGCTATGATCATCCGGAAGTGGCCAGTGGACACAATATCTCTGTGAGGTGTTAAGGGCAGGTGCCAGGTGCCAGACCCCAGCCGGGGCCTGTTGCCAGGAGCCCCCTGCTCCTTCTCTTCTGCTTATTTTAGTCTCAAAAGGAATGCCTTCTCCTCTTAACCATTCCTGTTCTCTTCCCTGGCCCCAAGTCCAACTATTGCTTTTATCACTTGGGAAGGATCTGTCTTCATCATCTATTGATATCTTGCTTCTTCTTCCTCTTTCTCTCCTTCTTGCTTTCCTAGTCTGGCACATGGGAGTAAAAAATTCTGCAAATTGTCTTTCGTCTCTGCAGCCCTGAAGCTTCTGAAGCAGGTTATTGCAAATGTCCAACTTGGATTCTGGGCCCTGTGAGAGAAATAACATTTGAAATCTCCTTTCCGTGTCCCTGTATGGGTTTCCTAACAGATCTGTGTGCATCTTTATCCCCTATTTATATTGTCTCCCGCATGCCTTGTTTGCATTTGCCAGGGCGCCTGTGCTGGAATTCATTCCTAACTGCATGATTAGCTAAGATCTGAAGCCATTCCTAATCAAAATGCTTTATAATGCTATTTTTAAGCCAGTTTCAAGTTTGGTGGCAGAGTGCAGCTTAGAAAGGGCAGCGGTGTGGTGACAGTCAAATACGGTCACTTCTCCAACTTGATCATTTTGAACTACACCTCCCATCTGTCTCAGCCACTGTGATGAGTGGTTAGGGATGGTGGGATTTGTAGTCTGAATCCTCTGAAGAAAGCTTGGCCTGGGGGAAGATTATTTTAAACTATGTGCTTAGAACACATCGAGAGAGCGCCAAAATACAATAAGCAAAAAAATGGCTGTTTAATGCTGTCTTGGAAGGTCCGGTGTTCACACAGTGCAGGAATTGGAGTTGCAACCCAACTGAAGAAGTGTTAAGTGTCTCTCGCTTTCTGTTTCTGAAGCACAAATGATGCACAAATGATTGGAGTGCATTGCATTGCATTGTCCACATTTACAAAAACCAAGTAAGCCAGGAGTTTGGAGAATCTTAGTTTACTGCACACTATCTCTCATTGACTCCTCTTACGAGCAGGAGAAGGTACAGCATTAAGCCTGAATCTTTTGATTGCATTCTACCACATTATGCAATAGCGTGCTGGTAAAAATCCAGATTAATGCCTAGATTCTGCATACACAATGTTCTGGCCAGAGTTAAAAGAGCCAGAGAATTTTTTGTGCAGAACTGGGCTGTTAATCTTGATTGCAATCAAATGTGAGTGGATCTTCCCTGTAGTTTAGAAATGAAATAAGAACTAAGGAATGGCGCATGGTACATTTTCAAAAGGGTCTAATACCGCCTCTCACAAATTCACCCCATGTGATTTGTTTGCTAGGCGTTGGGGTGATGCTGTGATTTGTCAAGTGCTGTGTAGCGGGATAAGTGTTCTTGTGCCAATAACATCCGGTGGGGTCATGGCCAGGGAAGAGAGCCATCCGGGGAGCTGCGGGGACAAATTCCACCCGTTGGCCTGAGATTCCAAACCCCCATCCTAAGCAATCTGGTCAGTTCATGGAGGGCGAACCAAACCCACCCACCCATTACTAGGTTGCAAGCTGTTCTCCATACCTCTTAAAATCTGCCTTCCTGGAAGCTGAGAGTAGGCCTGGTGTGATGAAATTTGGGACGGGAAGGGGAGAAAAACAACAAGCACACACAGCAGCTATAGATCTATCCTGCCTTGCAGCTGTAGGGCATGAGCCCGGGAGGCTGTGCAGGCATCTGGGGGTATGCCCATGTTTTGCTCCCCACCTGCTGGACTTTACACCTGGTTTTAAAGTTTCTTAGACTATTAAGCTGTCTTAGGGGTTGGCACGTGGCGGTGTGTGGGGGTGAGTCCAGGGAAGCACGAACAGAACGCCACCCACGCAGTGGGGCTTTTCCTCCCCAGTGCAGTCACCACGTCCTCCTTCCCCCAAAACTGCTTTTGAGGGCCAGGGGACTCTACAATTACAGACCTGATGGAATTTGAGGAGGGTCCCCATTATTCTCCCCCCTTTATTCTCCCAAGGCAGCTCTGGAGCCTGCCTATAATAAGTAAAGTGAAGTCCCGCTGAGATGGAGAGGAGCTCTAGGTCACGGCCATGATCGTGCGCTAAGGATCGCTGCTATGAATGCTTTACTATTAATGCGCATCCCCCCAGTCACTGAATCATGATACAAGCCTGCAACCATGTCGTTTGTTTGTTCCCCTCCCCTCTCCATGGGGCACAGTTCGCAAGAGACGAGTGGAAGGAGACCATCAGTAGCTTCCCATGGCCAGCGGCGCACATGGTGGAGAACCCAGAACTCCTCAAGATGGCTGTTTTGCTTGGGCTTCAGCAATCCCAAGATTTCTTCTTACCTGGGTAGAAGGGAAAAGACTGGAATCACCGTTCCTCTTGTTTGGTGTTTGTTTTCATGGTGTCTTTGTAAAGTTCTATTGGTATGTGTGATATCCAACCTTGTCTGAAAACCTCACAACCCCCATCCACCCAAAGTCTGTTCTTGAAAACCCTTCTGTTTTAGACCTTGGGTTCTTCCAGAAAGGCGGATATCCATTCCAGAATTGGTGAAGTAGCTTGCGATGGTTGCCATGTGATAATGCAGGCAGCAATCCATGGTTTAAACCGGACTTCCAATCCTGGGACCCTCGGAAGTGTTGGACTATAGTTCCCATCACCTCCGCTATGCTTGACAGAAGATGTGGGCAATTGTAGTCAAACACTTTTGGAGGATGCTGGGTTGGAGGAGAGCGTTTAAACCCACAGGGAATAAATTTTCTGATAGGAAAGGCTGAGTCTAAGCACCGAGTCATTGTGTATTTTGAAAACAGTGCCCTAGTAGCAAGGGCGGAGAGCTTGTCCAAGGGAAGACCAACGCCCTTGACCGCTTTGTTTGTTTGTAGAGATGATGAAATGCCAAGGCTTCCTTTGGCCTTAATTTGGACCATTTTTAGGATGCTTTCTTGATAGCAACGGTTATGCTTGAAACTTCTTTGTTTAGTATACAAAAGAAGAGGATTCCACTTGAAGGGCTGCTGCTTCTCTTCTACCTCCTTGGAGGTAACATAACCAAGTAGGTCAGCAATCAGGTGCCTCCGGCCAACAGGCTTTGCAATTCAGGGTGTTTGGTTGGATTGTATTTTTCTGTCAACTTGCAGAGCCTGACGTGCCAGCATTTGTCATGTGTGAACTGGATGTATTTATAGACCCTTTTTCCTCCAGTTTCGTCAGCATCACGTTGCTTGGTATTTAGGTGGCTGTTGCTTAAATGGCGGGGGTGGTGTGTCAGCTCCAGAGCTGTGGCAAAGCTCAGCTCCTGCTGAGAGCTCAGGGAGTTCTTTGTGTAGGCTGAAATCTGCGGTGGCCATATGGGTTCTTTTCCTGGGGCTGCGAGTTTTGACAAGCATAGCATAGCAAATATTCTAGCCATTTTCACATCTCCTGAGGTCTCCACACCTCGGGCGGTGGGTGAGGCTTGCGGCCCGAGCACCTCAGCCGAGGCCATAAGCTATGTTGCTTGCTCCCAGCCTGCCATCTGGGCTAGAGAAAGCACCATTTTAAATTTCCCACAATGCCCTGAAGCGGCCAGTGTTGCACCACGCTGGGGCACTGTGGGAAGATTAATTTGGCCCTAATGAGAGGCCAACGGTCTAATTTCCCGCAGTCATCCAGTGCAGCAACTGCTTTACTGGTACCTTGTGGGAGATTTTTAATCGTGCCATTCCTTGTTTCATGTAAGCTCACCGTCAGAGGGACTCCCAGCTTCGAAGGAGGCTCTGCTGATGGCCCTTGGCCAGGGACCTGCTCACTCTTGGAACTATCCCTGCGGCGTCCTTGATGCATGGAAAATGTTAGCCTGAATCACTTGTCTGGCTGAGGAAGGCTGGTGTAGGGCAAAGGGACTTTTGCATTTCAAATCCACACATGTACGAACCATGTTAATATTTTTGTTTCAGTTGTCCCCGTCAAAGGAATCCTTCCGACTTTGTTCATTTTGTGGGGAAGAATTGTAAAGCAAATCTATTTTTGTACAATTTTTAAAACACTGCCTTAATCATCCATAAGAGAAAAATGGTCCTAGTGGCAGCAAATGGATCTGAACAAATTTAATGCTTAAATATGATGTAAATGTTTAGATTAGGGGCTGAGTTACCCTGAAAGGCTGGTTAGATTTGCAACATGCAGGGTGCTTGATACACACTGTTCTGGTAGACCACAAAAAGCAGAGCTATGAAAGACTCGGAGGGCCCAGGAACTGCAAATTACAGGTCCCGTTTACAGGGTCTGCAGTATGTATTTATGCTGCAGGTTGAATCCCATCCTCTGCATGCACCTACAGAAGATGTCATCTAGTGGAGTGGGGAGGGGGCTATTTTCAGCCTTTTTCCTGCCCCCCCCATGTCCTCCCATGTCTGTTCTGGTGTGTTAGAGGACCCTCAGGAATAACTCTGGCGGCCACACTAGGAAGGACTGTGGCCCCATAGTTGGCTATGCCGAATGCACAAATCTTGAAAAACCCGAGCGATGCATGAGCGGAACTGCAACCCGCATGCCTCTTGGTCTGGTGGTGCTATTTTAACTTGGCCAAAGCAGGAGAGCTGCTCGCACGGAATGACGTGGCCCTGAGCTAGCGAAGGGAAGAGCTGCCTCTCACTGGGACCGCGTGACCTTCATGTCGGTGGGGAGCTCCCACGTGCCGCACGAAGGCGAACGGGGGCTGAGCAGTAGCTCTCCTGGGGGGATTTTTCCTTAAATCCAATAGTGCCTAATTAAAAGCTGTCAATCAAAGCCATGTTGCTAAGTATTTTCCTCCAATCTGTTAGGGTGTATGTGGGATCTGGATCATCGGCTGATCAAGACTTCTTAGCTCAGATTCGTGAGACTGGTATTTGCGATGACAGACAGTGGGTTTGTTTAAACATAAAGGACAGAGTTGAAATGTAACACACTTTCATCCTCTAGGGCAGAGGAGGCAGGAGGAAGATCTCTAGATGGCTTGGACCAACTCCCAGAATCCCCTGCCAGTATGACCAGAGAATTCTGGGAGTTGAAGACCCAAAACACTGAGAGAGCTACCTTCTGCAAGATGAGGGGTGGGCACCTTGTGACCCTGCAAATGTTTTGGATTGCAACTCCTATCAGCCTTAGCTGGCGTAGCCAATGATGATGAATTATGGGAGATGCAATCCAACGGTACCAAGAGCAACTGTTTGTCCACACCTGCCCACAATATGCACCACGGTGGCCTGAGATTTAAGCATCAAAAAATCGGTGATCCATGTGGGTTGGTTGCTAGTCCACAAGAGTCTGGCAGTCGTCGGCATTGTCCTAGTAGGGAGAATTCGCATCCTGAATTTTCAATGCACCACCGAGTACTTAGCCATAAACCAGTCCCTTTGAGGCAGGCAGCAGAACATGGAGCTGAAGATGCCTTTACAGGTCTCTCTCTCTGTGTTTTCTTTTTCTATGGAAAATGAGAACTGTAATCCAGTGAAATTTCCTGACTTCAGATATTTGGAAAAGTCAAATTTGCTAGGCTTACATTTAAGGGCTCATTGGATTAACTCTACACATGATGATGGTTCAGAAATGTAAAAATGGGGCCATTTCCAAAGAGGCAAAGCTTTTATGCTTTTTAAAAAAACTGTTTGATGGCGGTTTTGCCAGATGAGGGGGTTGATTTGCGGTTTTAAAATATGCACTTCATAATTAACCTCATATTTTGTTGATTGTCCACTTTTAAGCTCTTGAATAAAATGTTTCATATTATCCTACAAAATATTGTGCTTATACTTAATACTGTTTACAAATGTTAGCTTCTCTTGTTATTTTTGATACAAATAATACTGTTTTTAAGCTATGCTATAACTATAGACGCTGTTCTGGTGAAGAAAAGTGAATGGAAAAACACCAGAATGCCGGCATTGTAATGCTGGCCTTGATGTAATAAAAGTATCTAAGCAATATTTTAGTACCACAAAGGGTTTTTCACGAGTGGTTTATTGTTGCATGTGATTTGCAAACAACCCCTTTTCAGTCAGAAATTAAAAGCGCAAGTCTGTGTCTGTCAGTACAGAAAAGACGAGGGCCAGCATTTCCAAGTTTGGACAACTGTTGGCTGTGTGTGTTTTTTGTCCGGGGTTCTCAAGCAGGCTGACAGTGCATTCTCAGACGGAAGCATCCTTCAAGCGATACGACAAACACGGTGAAGATGCTTAAAATGTGTTCTTTCCCAAGCCCGCTCAAGGAAGAACTATGTAGCATAACCCTCTCCAACCTGTTGTTGTCCTTTGGATGGGTAGGAAAAGAATTCCCATAATCCCCAGCCAGCTGTTGGGTGACATGTCCTGGGATAAATAATGTATCCGTGAAGCTTTACAATGGCGTGCTTTTGCCTCTTGGATTGTTAGATGTTATTGCTCATTAATTGCTATTTTAATTGTATATTGTATTTTTTTTACTTCGTAACCCACCCAGGGAGCCTTCTGGCTAATGGAATAGAAATCTGTCAAAAATGTATTGCTAGGGACTCTGCTGAACATCCTCCGTCCTGTGAGCTTGTGCCAAGCCAGGCACGGGGAGAGTCCTGCACAGAGCATGTTACATAATCTGACACGGAGAGTTCCGCTGCGTGTGGCGTGAGAGCAACCCTGGCCTGACTCAGATGTTATTACTTCCTCAGCTCTTGGATTTACTTGGGGCAGGAGAGTGGGAGAGGAGAAGGTGCTTTGTGGCAAGCTGCTAGTCATGTTCATTCTGCACAGGCCTGGTCTCGGTGCTCAGAAACCTCAGACGGGTGCTGGGTCCCACAGCCTCACTAGTGAGGCTTGACACTTAGGCCTGCCTTGAAACCCTGTGGTGGACAGCTTAAGCCAAGAAACTACACTTTTAAATTTTCTAGAGAGCCCTGATTTTAGTGAGGTTGGGAAGGCTAGATCTTGGATGTAAAGTTGACATGCTGCTGATTCCAAAAGATTCCATCATGCTCTGATCTGCAGGAAAACATAGCATTTAGACGACTATTCCTGATTTGTAAATATACCCTTTCTAACAGCAGGGAGCTATTCAACATCTTTTTCTAGGAACAGTAGTGGACCAAGAAGTCTTAATCTCCAGGAAAATAATGACCCTTTGATCAGTCTTGTGAACAAAATGGACAACCCAGCGTGTGTGTGTGTGTGTGTGTGTGTCTCTGTCTGTCTGTCTTGTTGCCAACTCAGAGGACACAGTGATCTCTGTGAAAGTCAGTTGTGTTAATACCCATTTAGTTATTAACAAGTTCATGATGTTCAGCTGCCTGTGTTTGGAAGAATAAGTTCATCTCTTGATATCTGATTCTTTAACAAGTTACCTAACTATGCTCAAAAGCAACAGAGAGTCTTGTAACATCATAAAGCCCAACATAAATTTATGCCCTAATAAATCTGCTAAGTTCTTTTAGGCTCTGCGAGGCTTTTTGCTGCTTTGCAGCCAAGGATGCTACCCTTCTTGAAATAATTGTGCATCACAGAAAGTTGAGGTTGTCCAAACATTGCAATGCTTAAGACTGTTAGCAGTTCTTTTAAATTTTCACTATCGTGAAAAAGTGCCAACATATTTCTGAAAGGGTTTGAAAAATAAAGATCTCAAAAGAAATGGGCAAGGGGTAGAACAGCTGACTGGTGGTTTTCCATTTTTGTGCAGAACTTTAAACTAAAATAGTCTTTTTTGGTTGCACCACTTCTGCCTTTGATCTCACCTTCCACTAAAATGTGTCCCATTTCCCACAGTCACACACACAACCCTGAGAGCTTCTTTGAAATGGAATGTAGCCCTTCAGCTGAAAGAACATTCCTGTTCTGGAATCCCCTTAAGTTTGGCTCAGAGACAAGGGCAGAGCCCCCAATGCATGGCTAGACAAAAATTGCCATTGCTGTAGTTAAAGCTAATTGAGAAAGAAAAGAGAGGTGCCATTTATTTTCTAGGGTCCAGCAACCACTTGCGCTGTTTAGTTCGCTGTATGGCAGAAACAGCTTTGTAGTGAAAAAGAACTGAACGGAGAGCTAATGGACAGAGAGAGGGGTGGCCTGTGCTGAAGCTGTTAAATGCAAAGGACAAGCCTCAAGCTTCCACTTTTCCTTCTGTTTCTAACATCCCTGAGCAAAACACTACAGCTGGAAGCCTTTCAAATTTAATTTTTAGTGCAGGATCAAACCACCTTGAGCCCCACTCTGCATCATAAAAACATTTCCAGGGGCCCTAGAAATGCTAGAGACTTTGCTTTCTTCTGTCCTAAGATTTGCTCTCTCTGCCCCCCAGATACACATCAAACAAACATCCACAACATCACAGCAGTGTCTAGAACCCTTCTCTGTTTCCTAAACATGTTTGTAATAAAATGCTACTCATTACTATTTCTCACATTTCTTAAATATATTTTTAAGGTTGCTGGCCAGAAATTTCTCTCTGCCATGGCAGTATTGATTAAAATAGTATATACGTTGGCTGTCCTGCTAATATACAGGTATATCATGCATATTAGTTGCATGCTGTGTTGAAGGAAGAAGAAACCAGCAAGGCTGGTGGTGGTCTTTGTCTTCCCCATCCACAACTGCTGTTTCCCCAAGTAAGGTCTGGTCCATCCTTTCCTAGCAGAGGCTGGGAGGGCCGGGGGAAGGGGCTGAAGCAGCAAGTTCAGTAGATTATCTTGGCTGCTTCTTCCGATTCTAGGAGGTGGGAAAGCTGCTCCTAATTGTAGCATTGTTAAAATCCTGGATTTTGGCATTGTATTTGGGTAAAAGTCACATCCGCTTTGGAAAGAAAGGGTGGGAAAAGAGGAGTCAAGGAACTAAGAATTGCAAGCAGCCAAAACTCAAGTGTCTCTACATGTTTCTATCTCTATACCAACTGCTGCAGCCGAAGGAGTTTCGCCATAGAGATTTAAAGGTTAGAACAGTACCACGCTGCAATTAATCAGAACAACGAAGAATAGCGGCTTCATTTCCATTTTAAAAAAGAATTTAAGGCTCCATTTACTTTATTCCGTCTGTAGTGACGGAATCCCTTTTATAAAAGAGTTGATGATTCTGCTTTGTTTCTAATACATCAGCTCGATCGCCCAGCGGTGAGCTTCAGGCATTCCTGTGGCGAGTTTCAGTCGCAGCTTGCTGACGTCACTCAGGCGCCGGGCGCTTCCGTTCGAGCGTCGGTCCTCCGCCGGGTCTGGCGAGCTGGCTTGAGAAATTTGGCTTCTTCCGTCGCCATGGCGGACATGGAGGAGCTTTTCGGCAGCGACGCCGACACCGAGCCGGAGCAGAAAGGTGGTTCGAGGGCGGGGTGCGGGGTCGCGCGCTAGGTAGCGGATCGCGCATGCGCGGGGGGCGCGTGGCCCCGGCTCTCCCCCCCTTCTCCCCCTCCCCACTTGTCCCTTTCTTCCTTGGGCGCGCGCCGCCTTGTCGTGCAGGGAGCAGCTCGCCCGAGCAAATGCAACCCAGCCAGCCTTGTGCACTGGGGAATGAGGTGACTTGAGCATGCTTGCTTGCTTGCTTATTACTTAACCGTTTATATTCATTTATTCATGGGGTTTGCAAGCTGATTGTGGAGCAAGGAACTGTGAACCAGGAAACTATCATTTTAAACCATCTTTACGGAAATTATTATTGGTATTATTTGCATTACATTTCTGCACTGCCCGAAACTCTTTGGGTGGTTCACAATATTTAAGTCACCTGTTGAGATTTCAACCAGGCTTGACCCTGCTTCGCTTCCAAGCTACACGGAAGCTTCAAGCAATATGTTAAAAACAGGACCAACAGTGGTTGGTCAGGAAGGAAAGCCTTATGGAATAATTATTCTGATATTATATTTTGTAACTTCTATAACGTTTTATAAATATATCTTTACATTATATTATTTTCTGTCTGTTTTCCCAAAAGGAACTCAAGGCTGCTTACAGCATTCTCCTCCTCTCCACTTTATCCTCACAACAACCCTGTGAGAGTCAGGGACTGGCCCAAAGTCGCCCTATGTGCTTCATGGCCAAGCAGGGGACTAGAACCAAGATCTCCTGAGCCCCAGTCCAACATCCTGACCACTAATCCTAGTGACGGTAGGCCCACTGAAACTAATGGGACTTTAGTTATTTTCATGGTCTGTTCCAAGTAGAACTAACTTGGAACCCTTAGGATGCAACCCTTAGGATGTAACCCCCTGCATGTTTGACAGAAAAAAATCTACAAGTCCCAGTGTTCCCATGTCTGGCTTTTTTCTGTCTAAATGCCCTAAACTGTATGCTCCAAATGTCTAAACTGTACCCTTGTTTTATTATTATACCTTGCTTCTCTCTAAAAATCTCAGGACAGTATGCATGCTTTTCTTTCCTTCCCCGATTATTTTTCAAAGCAGCCTTCACAGAGCTCTGTAATCCTGTTTGTTCTTGTTGAGGCAGTCAGTAGCAACTTGTAACAGAACTTGGGCATTTGTCCCATGTGCATTTTGTGGGTGTTTTTGAGCCAAAAGTGGGTGCTGTGAGGGAACCCAAACGAGTAACATGTTGCCATATGGGAGCAATGCTTTCTGTGCATGGCTGACAGGAGCCTGTTCAGGGAGGTGAGTAGAACAAATGTGCAAAGAGAAGGCAACATGAGAGCCAGTGTGGTGTCGTGGTGAAGAGCACGGGGCTGGGACTCAGGCGATCCGGGTTCGAGTCCCCGCTCGGCCATGGAGCCAACTGGGTGACTTTGGGCCAGCCACAGACACTCAGCTCAACCTACCCCACAGGGTTGTTGTTATGGGGATAAGATGGAGGAGGAGAATGATGTAAGCTGCCTTGAGCCCTTTGTAGGAAAAAGGCAGGATATAAATCAAAGGGGGGGAAAAAACATGGGAGTCCTGCCTCCTCCATCGTTGCATTTGGTGTCTCAGCTCATGGAGGGAGACTGTCCATGGAGAAGAGCTGCCTTGTATCCTTGGAAAATCCTTGGAAAATGCTCAATGAAATGGTTCATTTCTAGTCTGATCGATTTGCTTAATTCAGACAAGTGGCATATCAATGAAACAGTATCAGGTTATTTCCCTTTTGATGAGTGTCTATTGGTGTGTGTGTTTAAGCAGATTCCGAGTCGGGTTCTGAGTCAGATTCTGATCAGGAGAATGCCAGCTCCGCGAGTAATCTGTCTGGCAGTGAGAGTGACAGAGATGAGGACCGAGAAGCCTTAAAGCCCAGCAATAAAGAATTGTTCGGTGACGACAGCGAGGAGGATGCTGCTTCTCACCACAGTGGCAGCGACAACCGCTCCGAACGGTCCTACAATCCCTCGGAAGGTTCAGGGCACTCTGAGCGCGAGGAGAACGACCAGTCAGACATCGACCAGCACAGTGGTTCAGAAGCTGCCCATGATGAGGACGAGGATGAGGATCACAGATCCGACGAAGGGAGCCACCACTCAGAGGTGGACGGATCTGAAAAAGCACCTTCTGAGGATGAAAAATGGGCCAGGGAAGACAAAAGTGATCAGTCCGAAGATGATGAGAAGCTCCAGAATTCGGACGATGAAGAGAGACCGCAGCATTCAGATGAGGACGAGAAGAACTCGGATGATGAAGAGGTGCCTCAGCTGTCAAATGATAAAGAGAGGCTGCAAGACTCAGATGAGGAGAAAATGCATAATTCAGATGATGAAGAGAGGCCCCAAGTGTCGGATGAGGAGAAGCTGCAGAATTCGGATGAGGACGAAAGGCCCCGGCATTCTGACGAAGAACACGTGCGGAACTCAGATGATGAACGGCCCCAGCATTCGGATGAGGAGAAGCTGCAGAACTCTGAGGATGAAAGACCCCAGCATTCTGACGATGAAGAGCGCAGGCTCTCGGAGGACGAAGAGGAGCATGAGCATAAATCTGGTAGGAAAAATAAGGGCTGGACTCTAACCAAGAGCAGGCAACTTGGAGAGTCATCTGAGTGGGGTGGGGTAAATCGGTGGCCTGCAATAGCAGGGGGTTGACCCGATGGCCTTCTTGGCCCCTTCCAACTTTGCATGACCACAAGTTCATGTGATTCTATGAACTTGTGGTCCTCCAGATATTTCGGCTTGTTTAACTCCCAACAGCCAACACAACTGGCTAATCTGGCTAGGTCTGATAGAATTCACAGTCCAAGCCAGCTCCAGCTAGCCCCAGCCAACATGACCAGTGGTCGGGAATGCTGGGAGTTGTAGTCCAAAACACCCTGCAGGCTCTCCTGCACTGACTGTCAAGGGGGGATTCACTGATGGGGATCTTTCCCTGCCCTCCTTAGAGATGCCGGGCATTGAACCTGTTGACCAAATGGTCCACATCCTGGTGTGTGTATGGCAAATATACACCACAAGGGAAGGTTTTCTTTCAAAAGATTTATTCCTGAGAATAACTGGCTGGCAACGAATCATTCCAGATGGCGCCCCCTCACTTGGCCTCTCGTACATCTGTCATTCAAGGGTTGCACGGAACACAGTTAACATTTTCTAATAGGTTACAGAAGGAAAAAGTTACAATGGCATAATCTTTCCTGCCTGCAGACCAAAGAGAAAGAAATGCTCCAAAGCAGGGGAGGAGAATGGAGTGTAATTGGGGTGTATCTGTCAAGTGCCACCAGCTTTCTCTGAAATGGTGCCTGGTTAGTGTCAGCTACATTGCATGGATTCACATGTGCCGATTTCCAGAAAAGAGGGTTTTTCTCTGGCCTAGTTATGTGTCAATGATTGCCTGATTATACCTGTCTAAGTTGTACCTTTTGCTTTCTACATCAGACCAGAAATATGTCTCAGGGATGGGAGAGATATTAGACCCTTTCCAATGAGCAATTCAGTCTAGAAAACAGCATGCGCCTGGATTTTTCTCAAAAAGAGGAGTTGCATTTATTTTTCACTGTATAAGACCAGCGTACGAGTATTTAGGATGAATGGGGAGCATGAAAGTAACTCCGTATATGAATAAGACTGTGAGAGCCCTGCTGGATCAGACGAGGAGTCTTTGTCCAGCATTCTTTTCATGCAGTGGCCAACCTGCTGCCCGTAGGAAATCCGCAAGCAATGTACTACTGCATCCAGCAGCCTCCGTCCCACATCCCTCAGCAACTGATATGCAGAGGCCTACTGCCTCTGATACTCAAGGGAACCTACAGCCTGGTAGCCATGGACAGCCCCATTCTCCAACCTGGTGGAATACAAATAAATAGCCAGCAGCATAGCTAACTCCTATCTTGCAGGTACGATTAATGTTAGCCTCCCATTCTTCTTCAGTGTCTCCTTGCTTTCCTGAATGATGTGACCGCCCCCCCCCCGCAGCGTTCCCTTGGTCTCCCTGGTAACCAGCTGTGAGTGTTCCTATTCCACCCTTACCAACCCTGAGCAACAGCCTTATAGTTGTCGCAAAGGTTAAGATCACAGTTTTCCTCCAACCCAGTTCTGAATGTTTGCCGTTCCGTACACTGCCTTTGAAGAGAAAAGATTTGGATTCCCTAGCTGCTTGGTCTGATGTACAAATCAAAAGGTACAACTTACACAGGTATAATCAGGCAATCATTGACACATAACTAGGCCAGAGGAAAACCCTCTTTCCTGGAAATTGGCACGTGTGCATCTTGAAATGTAGCTGATACTGACTGGGCACCATTCCAGAGAAAGGTAGTTGGCATTTGACGGATATAACCCAATTACACTCCATTCTCCTCCCCTGCTTTGGAGAATCTTCTTTCTCTTTGGTCTGCAGGCAGGAAAGATCATGCCATTGTAACTTTACTTCTGTACCCCATTAGAAAATGTTGACTGTGTTCCGTGTAACCCTTGAATGATCCATGTACAAAAGAGCCAACTGAGGGATGCGTGGGCGCCATCTGGAATGAGTCATTGGCACCCAGTTATTCTCAAGAATAAATCTTTTAAAAGAAAACCTTCCCTTGTTGTGCATTTTGGGCATATGCACACCAGGACATGGACAATTTGGACAACAACTTTTTAAATTTTTTTTTAAAAATGATAAACTTTCACAAGAGTTTCAAAGTGGTTTATCACTTTATTCTTCCTATATCCCAGTGAACTGGCCACAGCTTTGAGTTTTTAAGAGCTGAGCAGGGCTAGTGAAGGATCGCTCACTTTGGAGGGCGCTCATTTATAGGGCCGCACTGGGCCAGAGATGACTTCACATCACAACAGCCTTATGTTTTGTGCAGGGTCTACATCAGGGCCTTTAAACCTCTTTTATCCCAAGACTGATTTTCTCAATGTGAAAAAGCTTTCAAGGGCTGCATTCCAGTGATGGCTGGGAACAATACCTGAAATGCCAGCCTATTTTAACCTGAGGCCCTTAAGGCTGGTCATGAAATTTTAGGGGAGGCTTTTACCACTCAGGGGAAATGGGTGCAAGAGCTAGGAAACCGCCAGATAGCTGTTAGTGGCAGGGGAGAGGGGGCTGCCTTGAAAAGAATTCCAGCAGACCAGATCGGGATTGCAGGCAGGCCAGGTTTGGCCTGTACACCTGTGGTTCTGCACCCCTATTGGAGATTCTGTGACCTGTTTGTGTAAAGTTACCTAGTCAGATATGCAACATTAAAACGGGTACAGGGTCGCATCGAACTGTTAAAAGGCAAACATCTCTTTCCCCAGAATCTGCACGAGGCAGTGACAGCGATGATGAAGTTATGCAAATGAAGCGGAAGAAACCAATTACTTCAGATTCCGAAATGGATAGCGATGCAGAAGGGCCGAAAGGTAAGCTGTGCCAGCTTTGCCATGGCTTCAAGCCACCCTTGCTTTTCCACTGGGGTTGTGCTAGAACTTGCATGCCAGAAACCACAGCAGTGAACCATGGGAGATCATTAGTGCTTCTCGCCACCAGAGTTCTCGCTGCACACGGGATGCCCTGTGCTTTATCTGAAGACCTCCTTGAAATGATGCTGGGCCCATGGCTTGGGTCCAGGTCCTGAACGGAGTGGTCCCAGAGGGCTTTGGGTTACTTTAATCAAGGCTTTGAAAAGACAAAGTTATCTCTGTTTATAAGGAATAAATGAATAAGGACACATAATTTACAGAGCAGGTGCGGCATACTTCACATGGTTGTTATAAGGATGCAAATGGTGGGGTGGGACCTGCAGGAGCACCTTGAGCTCCCTGAAGGAAATGCAGAGAGAAATGTCATGAGCAATCATTTCAAATACAGTCCTCACAACAACCCTGTGATGTAATTTAGGCTGAATGTGTGTCCAGCCCAAGATTTCCCAATAGGTTTTGTGGATTTGCTGGGATTTGAGCTGGTTTTCCCCAGTGTCACGTTCAGCCCAAGCCACTCACCACTGTGGCTTTTCTGTCTGTCATCTTTTATTTCATATTTATTTGTTTATTTAAAAGATGTATATGCCGCTCTGTATTTCAGCATTGAGATTCAGAAGAGTTAACAATAACGGATGAAGCAGCTAGAAGAATGAAACAATATGTTAAAGAGTCCAGGAAACTGGCAGGTTAGCTCAGAAGGTTTCTGGAGTAAGAGTGTTGCTGGGAGGTGCTGAAAACAGTACTTTGCTGGCAACTGTCTGATCTCCAGAGGTAGGGAGTTGCAAAACGATAGAGCTGCTGCACTAAGCGTGTCTTAGTGGACGCCAGTCAGTGGACCTGTAGGTCTACGTGAAACCTCAAGGGCCTTGGCGGTTAATCTTGTATTTGAAGTGTACCTACATTTTTTGGTCTGCTGATCGATGGCTTTCATATCCCCTGCAGATTCTTTCATATTTATAAAAAGGTACCTTTCTCAGCCTGTTCTCTCCCTTTTCCTCACCTGCTTTATGCCTCTGAGAAGGACTAAACAGTGAATTTTCTGTCTCCTTTTTGGGCAAGATAATAGGGATGCGATGGATCTGTTTGGAGGAGCAGATGACATCTCTTCAGGGAGTGATGGGGAAGACAAGCCCCCAACTCCAGGGCAACCCATTGTAAGTTCATTTCTCAGAGTGGGGGCATCACCCTTCCTGCACGGTCAGCTCAGTACAGGATTTAACAATTTAATAGCTAAGATGCTGATTTTTGTGTGCTTTTGCATCGTCTAATTAGATCATGTTGAAACCTTTTGTATGCCTTTGCAAGAGGTTGCCTGAAGAGCAGGTGCAGTTTGAGAGTGGATAACACAAGATGAAATGCTTACCTTCTTTTGGGCTGCCCTTTCTAGAGAGGCTCATGTGGGAGCAAGTGGACCTTTGGACTCCGCAGAACTTAATTCCAAGCGAACGTGCCTCAGACTGAGCCTTACAAACAGTCTTGCTTTTCGCCAAGGGTAGTCTTGCATTTAATGACTCACCAGGTCACCTGGAAGTTCCATGCAGGTGCATGAATTGGCTGGCAAGAGAAGGACAGAACAATCCTTCCTTTGCCAGCCTTCTCAGCTTCCATACTGGCTACAGCAGAAGGAGCGGTACTTGCTCCACACCTGATGCAGAGACTGGACGGGCTAGCAAAGGTGAAGCAAGGTGCCCTGTCTGTCTCTCACCAGCCCATCGGTCTTCTTGCCTGCAAGGAAAAGACTGTGGGACAGGCCCTCCTTGTGAGAAAGAAGCAGGCAAATACCGGGGGTTTTTTTTGCAAGTTAGTCACATATTTATGACGTCGTTTCAGCGGCTATTCAGTAGAAAAGGCTGCCCCAGCAATGTCCTTAAGATCACTAAAATAAGGCCGTGCCCCCCTCCAGGTTTTCACTGTAGCGGACATGACAAAAAAGGGGAAAACATGACAGGGAGGGCAAAAAACAGGCACAGGCAACTATCTGTTGGGTGAAGAAATAGTTCTTCTGATGTCCAGATGGAAACAATTCAGGAGGAATAAGATCCCAGGGAAAGCTGGTCTTTCAGGTGATGCAATAGCCTACCCGCCATCTGCCTTTGCTGCTACCGGATGGTTAGAGGTCTGTGTGGCAAGGCTGGGCAGGTCAGCAGTCCGTGCGTTTACCACAGCCAGCAGACAGTGCGCTACGAATGCGGCCCTTGGCATATACATGTACTGTACTGGGCATTCCCGAAGGCCCTGCCTTTTGCCCCAGGCTCAGGCACTTAAAAATTTGCAGAACGGCTCAGTTTTAAAGCTTTAAACCCTGGAAGGAACCCTCTTTGTGTTGACACCTAACCAAGGACGCCCTGCACGTTTTCAGCAGAGCCCCTCCATGTTGCAAGACATCCTGGCGGGGGGGAGCAATATAGGGCACCCGCTTGGTTTACACCAGGCCCTGCCCAGACCTATTTTGCCTCATTGCCATCAATGGAACTGCACCCTGGACCCTCCTGTGGGATGAGCATTGCTGAGGAGGATGGGCACTTGTTTGCAGCTGTCTTTCAGACACACTTTGGAAACACCGCATGCCAACCTTTTAAATGGCCTCTGCATCCCCATATTTTGCTGGTGATTGAGGGGACACAAAAGCATGAGGGCCCTCCCCGTATCAGCATTTGGCCCATAGCCATTTGCAGGCTGGATCAGAGGGATCGAAAGAAACCCCACTGTTGTCTACCCTTTGGCCAGTGGGAAGCGGCCCTTTGTCTTTCCTTATGCTGACCCTCTGAGTGAACTTATTTTTGATAATGTGTGCAGTCCACTCCAGGCTCCCGTTACCTGGATGCCTCCTGATGTGTTGGAACGCCCATTATCCCCAGTTAGCATGCCACTCTGGCTGATGAAAGTCGTAGTCCAACATATCTCAGGAGCACCCAGTTGAGAAATTACATCAGTTACCTCTGTCAGTGTTGTAAGCCAAATGTATGGCATACAGCATGGAAGTTCTCTGTTGATTACTCCTTTTTGCTTCCTTCTATCCCTGTATGGCTTAACCTGCTCTCTACTTGATTAGGATGAGAATGGGCTGAATGAAGATCAACAGGAAGAGGAGCCTATTCCAGAAACACGGATAGAAGTAGAAATTCCAAAAGTGAACACAGACCTGGGAAATGACTTGTACTTCGTGAAGCTTCCCAACTTCCTCAGTGTGGAACCCAGGTAAAAAAAAACCAGTGCCCCTTGTGGTTGCAAATTCTAATATAAAACTCTCATGTGCCCCAACCAGGGGAGGGACGATGGAAGTTGTAGGTTGAAACATCTGGAGGACCACAAGTCACCCAACCCTGATTTTATCTGAGAAGGGAGGAAAGGGAACCTCATTATCTGAGATGATTTCATGAGTTCTCCAAGGCTCAGGGCATCTTTAAGAAGATGCAGCCATTCTGTCATACTTCTGAAGTCAGCAGCTGGGTTCAGACAATGCAATAACCCACTTTCAAGGTTATTGTGGGTTGAAGAGTGGGTCGTCATTGAACAATGGGTAATGTTACTTGCAATGTAGTGTATTGTGCTATCTGAATCCTGCTGTATTAACGAACTGTGGTTTGTTGGCTTGTGAACCATGGGTTGTTAGCACATCGGGGTTCAAACAACATAACGCATAGTTCAGTAACAATCTTTATTTTACCCTTGAGCTTGGCTCATCATGTTGGCCAGTGCAGGAATAAGACTAGATGGACTTTCAAACTGATCCAGCAGGGCTCTTCTCATTACAGGCCCTTTGATCCTCAGTATTATGAGGATGAATTTGAAGATGAAGAAATGCTTGATGAAGAAGGTAGAACCAGGCTAAAACTGAAGGTATAACTAAATTTGATGCATCCTTCCATCTCTCCCCCCACCCCCCAGGTTTATTCCTGAAGCCATTCTGCTGCCTTAAGGTGTTTGCTTGAGATGTCAATTGCATTTTGAGCTCTTATGTTGAGCAGGAAGTCCCCAGTTCGAATATCTCTTCTGTGGGCAGGTCATTCAGTGCCCTTATGGCAAGCCCTTCTTTGCAGCTTCGGGAGCCCTCTCCCTTGTAATATGGGGATAGCAACACTGACCTTCTTGGCAGCTTGATCACAACGACTGCTGTAATAAGTGGATGTGAAGCTCTGTCATATTCAGTGTTCTGTACAAATGCAAAGGCTTCCTCTACTTAGGTATATGGAATCCAAATTTGGACTATGGCAATGCAGAGGCCCAATGATATTTGCCAGGGTTGACCAATCTTTTTGGACTCATGGGGTCCAGGTGAAGCCCATGAGTCCAAAATGGGTTGCCAGGATCGTCACAAAGAACCCGCAGCCTACCCAAGAAACTGAGTTAAGTGCAGAGGCTGGGTTCTGCGAAATCCCATACTGCTTATCTGACCCCATAAAGCAGATCAAAAGACAGATTTCATAAAAGGAAAACTGAGATGACAAATTGTGGAGGCTCAGGGACCATTAATGAAACTGAGTACGAGGCCGGGCCTGATATTCAAATGCCAGCCCCCAAGAAAAGAGAGCTCTGCTGCAAGGGGCTTACAATCTAAAATTCTGAATAGGGGAGCAACAGAGGGAGGGAAGCAGGTTGGATGTGAGGATGAATGGTGATGTGGGAAATATTCGTCCAGTTCAGTTGTGCACGTTTATTTTAGCTTCACTGTGAGGATGGTGAGATTGCATCAAGGGTTTATTGAAAAGACCCCTGTTTACAGCAGAGAACCTGTCTTCCCCGTCAAAATACAGGACTCCTTTGCTGGACTCCATCATGGGCACCCTATGAAGGTTTTTGCAGTGATGCACTGAATCACTGTATTTCTCGCCATCAGCCCTCCAATGCCTTATTCAAGAAATCCTTTCTGCACATGGCACCTTTGTTTCCCCACAGGTGGAGAACACGATCCGTTGGCGGACGCGCCGGGATGAGGAAGGAAGCGAGATTCGGGAAAGCAACGCACGGATAGTCAAATGGTCCGATGGGAGGTCAGTGTATGCTTGATCCTGTTTGGCGTGTTCTTGTGAACTGCAGCCGCGTGTTTTGCAGGGTAAAGGTTCTCTTTTGGGTTCTCATTCACGTGTGTTTCCCCTCGGTTCACCTCTTTGGCTCCATTATATCAGGGCTCTGGGAGGTAACTGTAGATTGAGGATATCAGGAGATGCCATTCATTGCACTGGAGGGAAAAGCTGTAGAGACGTTTACAGACCCTCTCCGAATCCACCCTCCGGCTCAGCCCCATTCTGAGTGAGCAGAGTGAGCTGAGCCACGGGAATGTCTGTGCACACTTGTGGCCCCCAGGTGTGCAACCGGCAGCCCTCCCCATCGGGAGCAACTGCAGGACAGGGAGCAGGGGTGCTGTGCGTCTCCTTCCCTGGCAACCCACCTACCTCCCCACTCCCTGTTGCCAGCAGCAGCCGCAGCAGCAGTGGCGCACGGGAGAAAGGAGCCCTCTGCGCAGTAGGAGGGGATCAGTTCCTGGTGAGCGTTGGGAAAAAGCTGGGTGCCCCTGCCACAAACTCAGGTTCTGGGGCACTGCAAAACAGACTGGAGTCTCCAGGGAGCCAAACCCAGGGAATCCGACAGATTCCCACCCTCCGGACAAATTCCTCACACACCCTTCATTTACATTTTCTCCCAGACGTTGTAACTTCCGTTTAAATATGGCCATGGAATTTAAGGGGTTTGGCCCTCTTTAGGCAGATGCTCCTTATAACTCTGTCTTACAAACGTGATAGTATATCTTTAGACCTTTTGTATAAGCTAAGCATTGAAAAAGCCACAGGTTCCTTTTCTCGGGCTTATTTCCTAAGTAAATCTAAACACAAGGGGAGACGGTTGGAGTGAGTTGGTCATGGCGGACAAAACATTGAAGTAAAGATGCAAGTATAGCAGGCATTTAAATACACCAGCGGAAGTCGGTAGTCAGCGTTGCTCTAGCCAAACTTAACTTCCGTTATGAGCGAAGGAAAGAGGCTCCTGATGCGTTTACTAACCAGAACAATTCTCCTCTCCGTCCGAAGCATGTCTCTGCATTTGGGGAATGAAGTCTTCGATGTGTATAAAGCACCCTTGCAAGGGGATCACAACCATCTCTTCATCAGACAAGGAACAGGTCTTCAGGGGCAGGCTGTTTTCAAAACAAAACTGACTTTCAGGTAAGCACATGGCTCTTTCACACTCCAAGCACTACCAAGCGTGGAATTGTGGTCAAGCTGAAGCAGGATACAAGCTAGCTGACCTTATCATGGACACTGAGCTCTAGGGCCTAGATCGGCAACCAGCTAAGGGCTGCCTGACAACTCAGACACAGCTGCCTTGTACCCCAGGCCTCTATACATCCAACAGGCACATCCTGAGTGATCAGCCGTGTTTTTATTGGAAGTTTGGTTTGCGCTTGCTTTTTAATTAAACTTTTAATATTGCGCTTTTGTTTTATCTTTAGTTTTTCACTGCTCTGAAACCTGTTCAGTTGTGGAGTGGCGTAATATACATGAATGCTCACCAACTGTTGGTTGAGTTCCAGATGGGCAAGGTGATAAAATGTTACTGCTTTTGCTTCAGCCTAAGTTCCTTTCTCTGGAAATGCCAGGTGTTCGATCCAGGCGCATGGTAGGCCATGTGCTTTGCCACTCAGGTGCCATCATAGACCTGAAATTTTAAGGGACCAGCGTGGCCCAACAGTAACCTCTTCCATTGTTTAGCTTACCTGACATTCTAGGCACTGCATTGAAATCTCGAGGCTGTTTGTTCATCAAGCGTGTTACTGTCAACCATGACTTTTTCCCGTCATGTGCTACTTTCTTCTTCTGCGAGGAGATGCCAGGGTTTGAATTTGGGATCTTGCACATATTGTTTCCTCCCCATATTGGGCACAATCCACTGGCGATATCTGTTGCACCTTTCATTGAAACATGTTGGAAATGCAAGGGGGAGTTATTCTTGGCACACATTCCAAGGTCAAGCAGATTCAGACTTTCCGATGATGAGGGCAGCCCTGGGAACCAGAATTGTAAGATGTTGAAATGGAAGAAGTGGAGGAGCTTTTCTCAAGGGCAGCCTTTGAAGATAAGATGTTCAGGTGGGCATTGAGAATAGTCAGGATTTACACCTGCAGGGACCGGGTGTGGGAGAAGAACTGCTGCAGCCAGCCAAGCCTGGCACGACCTTGACCCCACGGTGCAAAATTAAGAGAGACCAGCTAGAGGAGCAGTGGACAGCGAAGAAGCCTGCCAGTCTCCAGGAGCACCCTCCCAGAGGGGGCAGGCCCAGGGACACTCAACAGGAGGAGGAGTTGCTAGGCTGGGTTCAACAAACTGCTCTGTGCATGCTCAGAGGCTCATTCTTGGTTGGTTGTGCCTGCTGGAAAAGCATGGGGGAGTAAAGAGATTTTACCAAAGACAGTCTTTTGGTTTGGGAGTGTGAAGGGGGAACCTCGCTCACGACAAAAGAATGAGAGTTGTGTTGTTACACATCAGCTTGCTCTGGCTTGCTAAGGTGCAAATAGAAGGACTTGTACAAAAGAAGCTTTCAGGGAACGGTTCCAGTTTTGAGGAGGGAAGCAGGAGGTGATCGGGGGACTGGTTGGGGTATCGGAGAAATCTGAAGTAGATTCAGATGATTTCAGATTTCTATGAATTCAACTTGCAGGTTCTTCAGCAAGCCAGTAATTTCCCCTTCATGCAGACTGACAGCATGCAGACCAGTTTTTTGCTTCTGGGGTATGTGTGTAGGGATATGCATAGACAGAACAATTTAACAAAATCCCTATGTTCTTAGGGGACTGAAGTACAATGATTTTTTTTTTACTTTCAGCATAGTAGCCTGAGAAGCAGTTCATAAAGGTTAGACAAGGGGCTAGCTGGTAGTAATGGAAGGCTAAAGGAGTCTGATAGAAAGTAACTCTGTAGTCATTTTCTCCTTGGCTTTTTTAACGGACAGCTGGCACACTTTCGTTATCCATTGCAAAGTGGGGAAGCTATTTCCCTGCCAAATCTTTTTGGCTCCAACTCCCATCACCTCTGACCATTGGGCAACCTTGCTTGAACTGTTAGAAGTTGGAGTTCAGCAATATCCTGACGTCCACATTTTCAGCGCCTGCATCCCCCAGCTTGAGGGGTTCAGGTTACTGTGCCAGAAAATATTGTAGAGCTGGAAAGAATACAAAAAAGAGCAACTAAAGCATTCAAGGCAGCTCCTCTGTGAGGAAAGTCAGTAATATCTGGGGCTGTTTAGCTTAGGAAAAGGACGAGTAAGAGGAGACATGATAGAGATGTACAAAATCTTGCATGATGTGGAAAAAGTGAATGAAGAAATATTTTTCTTTCTCTTTCACAATACTAAGGCCCACCGAGGCCATCCCGTGAAGCTGATAGGTGGGAGGTTTAGGACTGAGAAAGGAAGGACTTCTTCACGTGGTGCCTAAACTGTGGAATTCGCTTTCATAAACCGTAGTGCTGGCCACCAATCTAGGTAGCCTGAAAATGGGATCGGACAAATTCCTGGAGGAGGAGATGGGCAATGCCTGCTTTTTTCTGGTGCCAGTATGTGACCTCCACTGTCAGAGGCCTTATGCACCAGTTGCTGGGGAATATGGGCAAGATCTTGCTGTTGCACTCATGTCTTGCAGGTGGCTTGCCCACTGACGGCTTGGCCTCCACGGACTCTTTGCAAGGTCTCATGTTACGTTCTTTGCTGTGTGTATGCAACAGCGTGATAGAGTCACTTGCCCAGAAGTGGCATGTTCTGACAGAAGTGCTTTAACCTGAGAAATTTTCCAACAGGCCTCACTCGACGGACAGCGCCACACACAGGAAGATGACGCTCTCACTGGCAGATAGATGTTCAAAGACACAAAAAATCCGCATTTTGCCCATGGCTGGCCGGGATCCAGAGTCCCAGCGCACGGAAATGATTAAGGTACAGATTTCTGGATGGGATTCAGGACTCGCCTTTTCAGCTGTTCTTGATTTGTATTCTCTCCTTATTGCCAAATTCTTACTCTTCTCCCTGGCTCACGAGCATCTCTGGACGTGCTGCTCCAAGGCTGCTGAGCCCCTGCTGTCGTAGTGCCAGCAAGGGCTCCGAACTGCCACAGAGGATGACCTGCATCCTCCTCTCTGTGGGTGACAAATGACCTGCTTGGAACAAATGAAGTGAGTGACAAGCAGCGGGGGGGAATGGGGAGAGGCAAGGAATATGAGGAACTCGGCAGAAGCTACGCGTAACAGCATATTAATCAGATACCATGACATTCAATATCTGGGTCTTTCAAGCCCTTGCTATGAACCGGTTTATAGTTTCTGGTACTGCTAAACAAGGGTGGGTAGTTTCTGGCACTCAGGCCAGGGCATTTAGTCTAAAAGCACAGACCTCCTTCCAGGTTATATCATTCAGGCCACAGAGCGCAGGAAATTCTCAGCAACTTGGCTAAATAAGCCAAACTGTGTCTTGAACCCTCCTCCTTTCCCGAGCCTGAGTGGAAAGCTCACAGGCAACCGCTTTGCACGCAGGAGCTCTTGCTTTCATCCTCCAGGTAGGAGTGTCTGAGAGCTGCCCCGTTCAGCCCAGACCAGGGTGCAGAATCTGAGTCCCAGGATGTTCTTCCTGAGCACCAGTTGCTTCTGGCACTTAGGCAGTGATTTGTCCCTGCAGTGCTGCATCGCTTGCCATTTCCCTCGCTGGGACTCGCTGCCGACTGGGCATCAGATCTTCACAGGCAAATATGCGGGGTGTCTTGGCCCCACCCATCCACTGGAATTGAGAATGTGGAGGAGTCTGAGGAGGCAGAATGGAGTGCCCTGCTTCGGACAGAGCATGAGGAAAGGTGCTCTCACAGACTCCCCCAGTGAAAACCAAAATGCTTCTGTGCAATTAGAAAATTAGTTCGTCAGAGAGCAACTGAAGCAGCCGGCCCACGTCCTCTCAGAACAGGCTTTCTTCCTCCTTGCCAATGTCACTTCTGCTCATCCTTGTCCCCTCAGCCTGTCAGCCCTGACTGCCCGGATGGAGGGTGCAGGGCACAAGGAGAAAGGTGCTCCTTCTCCTCACCTGTCTCTCTCCTGGGTGAGGGAGCAGGTGGCTGCCCTAAAGAAGAGGAGCATCAGGGCCAGGAAGTGCTGGGGTCCGCAGTGGGCTTCGGCAGGTGCCCGAGGGTGTTCTGGAACCTGCCTCTCTGCGACATTAGATTTTTCTCGGTGTTTAACTGGCAGGGAGCTTTTAATGTTGGAAAGATAAGTAATAAAAGTTATTCCTCATTTGCAATTTAAAATGGGGTCATTCACCCTGCTTTGTGATTCCACCACCTCGGTTCACCCCGTGTCCAGCAGAACCAGGCCGGAAGCTTTAACACTGGGCTGCAAGGAGGCACAGGGCATAATGCCAATTCCGTCCCTGCTTAAGAAGCTTCTGCGCCTCAGAAGGACTCTCTTGTTTCCTTTTCCCCCGTAGAAAGAGGAGGAGCGACTGCGCGCTTCTATTCGCAGGGAGTCCCAGCAGCGGAGAATGCGGGAGAAGCAGCACCAGCGGGGGCTGAGCGCCAGCTACTTGGAGCCCGATCGCTATGATGAAGAGGATGAAGGGGAAGAGGCCATCAGCCTGGCAGCCATAAAGAACAGATACAAAGGGGGAATAAGGGGTACATTGGCCTTGCACGTTAACTTGAGCCAGTCCAGCGTGCAGTCTAACAATCTGCTTTCCCAAATTGAAGTACAAAGGTTGTTTGTCATGCAGCAAAAGTCCTTCTAGTCATGATCAGTCCAATCAAGCTGCTGCCCCTTAATCCCAACGGTGGTGGGGGCAGTTTATTTTGCGTGAGGTAGTGCGGAGCTTGGCTAGCAGGGTGACTGACCCAGTGATCTTGGAGGCACGACCTCATGCAGCACCCATGAGGCCGGGTGTGCTGGTGACCATCTTATCCAAGAGTACACAGGCCAGACGGTGGTCTGGCAGCTTGAGGATTAGCTGTTCGCGTTGCCTTGTTAGCTCTCTGGCTGGCTTTCATGTTTTGATTTGCACAATGCATGTCGTTTTCATGCTTAACAGTTGCTTCTCTGTTTCTGCAGTGGGCAGTGATCACAGACAGAGACATACTATTACCAAAAAACTACCTTGTGCAGCAAGTGGTGTAGGGCTGCTTTATTCAAACGTGCCTCTAAAGGGCCACTTCCTACGCTACAGTCAGTTTTTGTCACGGGTATATTCAAAGCGTTGTACCTGAGCAGCAATGCATGTTTCCCTTTCAGAGGAGCGCGCTAGGATTTATTCTTCAGACAGCGATGAAGGATCAGATGAAGATAAAACCCAGAGATTGCTTAAGGCAAAGAAGCTGAACAGTGATGAGGTGAGAGAAGCTCCTGTGCTCTCTTTTGGATGGTAATGCAGTCATGCTCAGTGTAATATGGGTACAAAGCACTCTGAACTTGATACACCGAAACCCAGTAGAGCTCCGGCAAACTTGGTCTCGCCTTTTGTGAGAAAAGGCATGGCTTTTCTGTTGCACCAAATATAACAAGAATACTTGCAATAAGATCACTTCTTCTTAAAACCATTTTTACCCTGCCTTTTCTGTTGTCTGGTAGAAGCACTCAGGGCAGCTCACAGCACTGAGGCTGCGGGGCCAATTTAACAGGAGTAAGAAGTAGTTCTTTACGCAGTGTAAGGTTAAACTTGGATGTAGTGATGGCTACCAATTTGGACAGTTTTAAAAGGGGGCTGTGCAAATGCAAGGAAGGTATGGTTATCAGTGGTTACTAGTCCTGAAAGCTGTATGTTCTCTCTGGCCTGAGAGGTGGTATGGCTGGGTATACGGATTGCTGGGGAACTGGGGCCGGAGGTTGCTGAGGCTTGTGTCTTGCTTGCAGGCTTCCTGTGGGCCGCTGGTTGGCCAGTGTGTGAACAGCTTGGCGGACTAGATGGCCCTTAGCCCTGATCCAGCATAGCTCTTGTCCTGTTCCTCCAAAACCCAGCTAAGAGTAGACTTACAAAGGTGTAACAGACCCGAGAGATCATCCAGACCCTCCCCTTACTGACGCAGGATATCTGCTCCTGCAGCACCCCAGAGAGGTGGCCTCTGCTTAAAAACCTCCAATGAAGCAAGGCCCCCATCCTGCAGCAGCAGCTTGTCCAAGTCTCACAAGTTGTGCCACCAGGAAGTCCTTCCCAACGTTTAGCTGAAATCCCTTTTCTTGTAATTTGAACCCTTTTGGTTCAGGATCTACTCTTCAGAACTGCAGAGAGTATATGGGCTCAGTTTTTATTATCTATTTATTTATTTTAAAAGTGCCTGCATACCGCTTGCTGGAATAAAAGCAGTTTGCCTTCATTTATGGGATAGTTCTTCAGAAATGCGGAAAGGGCTTTTGCATTGCTTTGTTATAGTCTGTTCGTCTGGCTAAATATAACCCGCTCCTTCAGCCCAAAGCAGCAGCAGTTTATTCAGACACAAGGCAGGAGGGAACAACATTGTCAGCCAATTTCAGGCTGAAAAGTCCTGGAAAAAAATGTAAAATTCTCCTGAAACAAGGTCGCCTTCACATGGAGCCAGAAGGCAAGAACTGCAGAGGCGGAGCAAGCCTCTTGGGAGTGGGGAGCAGGGGGCGAGTTCAGTAACCAAGCAGCACTCTGTCGACTGTAATCACCCATTTCATGCTCATCCAAGAACGAGGCGGTTCACAAAACACGACAGCACCGAGCACGGCCTGAACTGGCACCCCTGACAGTTTTGTATGGTAGGCGGTGTTGTGCGTTCACACATGATGCAGGAAGGCAACCAGCAGTCCCGTGAACACCCTTAATAATACCTGTTTTTGTTGCATTCTCATGAACAAGTGCCCTCCAAAACGGTCTCCTCTTCACAGCCCTGTGCAGCCCTTGTCAGCTCAAGCCTGTGGCTCCCTCTGTGGAATTGATCCACCTCATAGTGGTGCTTCCACGTCTTCTGTCATCGGCTTCCCCCGGCATTACTGTCTTCTCCACTGAGCCTTGCCTTCTCATGATGTGCCCAAAGTCCAGCAGCCTTAGTTTCATCATTAATAATAACTAATATATTATTATTGCTGCAATATTGCATTTGCAGTTGAACATGTCCATTGAACACTGCAATTAAAGGTTCCTGCAGGTTTTGCGAATGGGTGAGGGTCCCCTGTGCTAGGGGAGCTTCAATTTTGTGCTTCTTAATCAGCAAACCTAGACTCCCGGGTGGCCTAGCAAGCTTCATTTGCAGTTGAGGTTGGGATTTCAAAAGCAGTTCGTTGATGTTGCTGAGAGAAAGGCCCTGCTGGGTTAAAGCAAAATGATCAGTGGTCCCACTGAGCTTATGGATTATTCCTGCTGCCTCGAATTTCTCATTTCCGTGTGTGTAAAAGATAACGTGCGGCTCACCTGTGCTTACACTTCTCTTTTTTCACCTTCCATCTCAAACGTGTTTTAAGCTTGAATACTGAAGTTTAACTGCACCACATGGGGGCGCTTAAATCTTAAAAATGCACACTGAAAAGAAGAGCACCTTCAGCATGTGCCACACATTATGGGATGCTCAGGCACTTGCCTGTTTGTGTGCCTCTCACTTTGTCAGCCTTCAGAAATGATCCAAAGAGAGCCAGTGTGGTGTAGTGGTTAGAGCACGGGGCTGGGACTCAGGCGACCCGGGTTCGAGTCCCCGCTCACCCATGGAGCCAGCTGGGTGACTCTGGGCCAGTCACAGACTCTCAGCCCAACCTACCTCACAGGGTTGTGGTTGTGCGGATAAGATGGAGGAGGAGAATGATGTAAGCTGCCTTGAGCCCTTTGTAGGAAAAAGGCAGGATATGAATCGAAAAATAAATTAATTAATTAACTGCGTGGGAGCCAGCACCATTGCCTGGGTAGGGCAAAACAGGCTTTTAAGTTTTGGAAGGCTTCCCGGGAAGTACTTGGACATGGAGAAGTGAATTTAGGCAAAAGTACAGAAGAAGAATTCTGAACCAAGATCAGCTTGCAAGTCTTGGAGGCAGTCAGGGATGGGTGGGGACAGACAAAACCTGGCCATTATTCAGTTTGCAATGCTCTGTCGGTATTCAGGAATTCCAGCCCTGTTAGAGCAGAAGCCCATCTTCAGTTCACGTATTTTGATCTCACATTGAGAGAGCATCTCGGACACACAGGCACTCAGCCTCCGTTCATTCAGTTTTGTAAAATCTTACGATTGAACTGCATTTGTAACCCATTCCAGTGTTTTCTGATTGTGCAAATTTGAGGCCCATGTGTGGGCAGCTTGCCCCTCCTTTGTGCCATGCAAACTGTCTCTTCCGTTTCAACCATTAAACGGGCAGTTGAATCAGCAGCCTCATTCGGAGATCGGCACCTGAGCTTAGTTGCACCGCCTGCAGCAGTCCTGTGTTGTCCCCTGCCTTTCTTGCCACTTTTGTTGCACAGCTTTGCAGGATGCATTTGTTGCGACTCAGGAAAGCTCGCTTCCAGCTCATTGCATGACTTGCCTGCCCCATAGGAAGCACAGTCAAGGAAAACATCTGTGACTCTTCTCTGAAGCTCTCCTGGCCTGATATCTGAGTTGTTAGTACCTAGAATTTCCCCCCTACCTTCAAACCCATGCCTGATCTACTCTTTCCACTACTTTCTTCTTTTCCCTTTGAAGGCTCTAACTAATGTGTGCTAATTCACAATAATAATTATCAGTATACTCTGCACAAAGTTTAGATAGTGTCAAAATCTTGGCATACCAGGCATAAGCAGTCTTCAACAAACTTTACATCAAGGCAGGAGCTCCGTTCTTAAGCAGCCGTTTTCTAGGCTGGTAAGCTGCTCCCCCCAGAATGGTGGGTTTCTGTTGTAACACTCAGACCCCACTCCTGTCTTGGATTTAGTTTCTCGGGCAAGTTCCTTTCCTTTCATCTTCCCCAGCTTGCTTTGGGACAAACCGGCCCATCATGGCAGCCAATTGATGAGGGCTGCCGTGAGAGTGCCCACCTTGCTCTCTCAAAACTCCAGGTGTGCCCCCTGACCCAGAAGGGTTGGGGACCAAAGTATTAGAGAGTGAATCTCATCTTGGCTCAGAGAACCTTACCTTCTGGATCCACAGGCTGAAGCATGTGCCGGAAGTTTGTTCCATGAGCTGTGGTCCACTGATTGCATCTTCAGGTTAGCTGTGGGCAAGCCATCCCAAGATCCTTCTTTGCTTAGCCCAGCCTCTGATTCCTGGCCTCTGCTTTGTACCATTATTACTGGAGGAAGTGCCTTCTCCTTCTTGGGAGCGTTGAAGGCCCACATCTTGAAGCGAGGATGGTTTCAAATGGGGATTTTAGTCTCTTAATGCGTGGCTTAAAGTTTACTGATTCCCCTGCAGGAGGGTGAGCCTTCTGGTAAAAGGAAAGCAGAAGACGACGACAAGGCAAGCAAGAAGCACAAGAAATATGTCATCAGTGATGAGGAAGACGAAGATGAGGATGCATAATGCCAAGCAAGTCCAGAACTTGACTGTAGATATTTTTATACATATATACGGAGAGAGAGACTGCATGTTCTTTTGCAGCCCAGATGTAAGTAAATCCCTTGAGGATTTTTTCCTTTTTTCCCATTTTTTGACTAAGGACACCTGCATAAATATCTGTAACCTTAACGCGAATAAAGCTTCTTGTTGGACCTTTTTATTGTATTAGGCCTGGCTGTTGTTCCCCATTGAAAACATCGTACTCATAAACGCCAAGTCGCTGCTGGGTCATTCAGCTCGATGAGGCCAGAAATGTCACCCCACCCTTGCAATAACCTCTGCTTTCCCTCGTAACGTTCAGCAAGGCAAAGCCTGTGGCCCAGTGTTGTTTCACTGCACGTCTCCACGCCCTCGTCGTACGTCACTGGGGGCTCGCAGCACGATAATACCGTGCCATGTGTTCTGCTTCGCTAAATGTTGTGCAGGAGGGAGAGAGGAAAAGCCGTGAGGCCGCTGGCTATGGCAGCGGTAGCGAGGGCCGGTTCTAGCCATCCTGCCGCCAGTTCATGCCTGTCTCTAACTGGGTGCCTGTGTGTATGCACGGACACTCGCAGAAATGCCTGTAAGAACAGCTGCCTCAATGGGAAACCATCATCATCATCATCATCATCATCATCATCATTATTATTATAACATTTCTATGCCGCCCCTTGCCGAAACCTCGGGGCGGCTTACAACATGATAAAATACATTGAAATACAATAGTACATAATAAATTACCATTAAATATAAAAATACAAAAAATACATTGATTTACAAATATAAAATTAAAATTATCAGTATAAAATAAAAATATAGGAGGAGAAAGAGAAGGAAGAAGAAGTTGCCCTGGCCAGATCATATGTTTTAACAATTGAAATGATGTTTAAATAAAAAGGTCTTTACCTGGCGCCGAAAAACCAGTAACAACGGTGCCAGGCGGACCTCTTTGGGGAGTGAATTCCATAGGTTGGGTGCCACCGCAGAGAAAGCCCTCCTCCGAGTACTTACTCTCCTAATTTCTTTCATGGAGGGTTCCCGGAGAAGGGCCTCTCCCGCAGATCTCAAAGGGCGGTCGGGCATATACGGACATAAGTGCTCATTCAGGTAGCCAGGACCCAAGCCATTTAGGGCTTTATAGGTCATAATCAACACCTTGAATTGGGCCCGGGCTTCAATGGGAAGCCAGTGAAGCTGACGGAGGACTGGAGTCATGTGAGCATAACGCCCCGTCCCCGTCAGCAACCTGGCAGCTCTATTTTCATCCTGCTGGAGAATCTTTAACTCTCCCACAGTGGTATGAGCAGGACCTGCAACCTTCGAAGACTTAGGGAAGTGCTCATGGCAGTTGACCCCTGGTGCCTTCCACCTGTTTTGGACGTCAGCTCCCATCAGCTCCAGCTAGCATGGTTGGTTGTCAGGAATTCTGGGAGCTGCAGTCCAAAACATCTGGAGAACACCAGGTTCAGGAAGACTGCTCTCGAGAAAAAGTCAGCAGTGCTGCACTGAGTCGGCTGCAGGGGAACTTCCTGGTTCTTTAGTTCAGAGCCCAGGTTTGTTCGTTTTTCCATCCTGGGGTCTGTGGGGGGCCGGGGATAGGTCGCAGCATTTTGTTTCACACCCCCGACTTGCATATTTGAGATTAATGGCCAAAGTAACCAAAATATTTAGTAAGTTCCAAATAACATAACATTTTTTTTTAATTCCTAAGTGAGATATGAGTTGTGGTTAAGTAACCTGGAAAGCCACTGTTTCAAACTGTGGGTGTGGGAGGCAAATGCCTGAACTATTACTTTCCAACCAAGAAAACTTCAGCCTACTATGAAGAGCCCTATTTAAAGCCAAGCCCTCTCTATCTATAGTCATTTTCAAAAGCTCTTTAACTCCCTTATCTCAAAAGGAAATTTCACCATCACCCAGTAGCCTGTCCGAAACTTTGCTCTACTTAGCAATGCCGCTCCCACTTTTTTTTTTTGCATGAAAATTGGATGGACACAGTCTCCTGTTCCTTTTTAAAATTAAATTAATTTGCCCTAAACTTGTCAGCAGTTAAGACACATGGAAAACTCTTCTTGTAACTTTCCCCTGGGTCACGGCTGCAGTGCCATCTAAACTCTCACATGTTCCCTTGGCGATTTTGCACCATTGCCTTCAAAAATAATGCAGCTTTATAACTTTCTGGAATGTTGACCTAGTAATCAGCTTAGCAAAATGACCTCAGCAAAGGCATGGGCCCTCTTCCCTTTTGTGAGGTTACCCAGGCATTAGTTTGTGCCTCTTCTCAGAATGGAAGGAAGCTCTGAAAAGGAATGTAGATCAGGGACGGGCAGGCTGTGGTAGATCTCCAGATGTTCTGGGCTTCATCTCTCGGTATTCCCGACCATTGGCCATGCTGGAAGGGTCTGGGAGTTAACACACAGAATATCTAGAGATTACTTTCTGCCCAGTCCTGGTGTACTTCAGCCTTCCCTAACTTGGTGACTTCTGCAATTGTACGACTGCAATTCCTACAGCCTTAAGCCAGCACGGTCAGTGCCTAAGGACTGTGGGAGCTGTAGTCCAGCATAGCTGGAGGGTACCAGATTAGGAAAGGCTGACCTGCTTCATCAGGACATGTCAGGTGGCGTGCATGTGCATGAGGCAGCCGGTTAACCTCAGTGTGTGATTACTTTTGCATGGTACACTTAACTGGCTTTTAGAGTGTTTCATTTTGATCCTGGCTCACAGTTTTAAAAAGTATTTGCTTCTCTTTTCATGATACTGTGGACTTTCACAGGGCAGTTGTACCAGATGAATTTGGTTTATCAGACACATGACTCTGACTTCCACGCTTCCGCAGACCTGTGGCTCTTCAAAAACTACTGGTCCCCAGCATTCATCAGCTACAGTAAGCGTGGCTTATGCTCAGGTGGTAGGAGAGCGTCTGCACGCTTTGGGCAACTGTTGTGTCCACTTTCGTCCACATTTCTGGGGATGCAGTTCCTCCTTTTTCAGAATACATAAAGGGCCACCGGAATCTTCATGTATTTTAGAAGCAGGCCCCCCGCATAGACTGTAGCCAAACCTGAATCCACAAGAGGCCTCTTAAGCAACCGGTTCCTCCTCTTCCTGCAGCCTCTCCACTGTCGGCATGCTAGTTTAGCAGCAGTTCTTTCTCTCTGAGAAACTGGCAACTGCAGAGGGGGAGTTTTACGCAGGCCTCTTGATCGGAACCTTTGGCACTGATACCAAACTCCGATTCCCACGATCTGCTAATTTGATTTGATTCTTTGCGAGCCCTGTCAGTTGACCTCAGACAGTGCACTGGGACAACACGAAGACATAAACGGTAACAGCACAGTCGGACGCGCTGCCTCCGGACTTGGAGGATTACAGGCGGCAGGGAGAGAGCAAACAGGCTCTGTACTTCCCTCACCTTCCAGAATGAGAAACCCAGTCGCACCTCTCTCTTCTCAAGCAGCAGGAACTTCTGCTTGTCACTGTCTGCCGGGAATCCTCAGCAGAAGGGCCACGGAGTAGTGAATTCCTCACGCTGCCTAATTTGCTCCCTTCTGATTTGAGGCACCCCTTCTTTCCACCTGCCTGGACTTGAAAGTCTTGCAGGGGAGCTCCAGAGCAGTTGTGGTGCGGCTCATGCTTGCCCAGCAATGCTTGGCCTTCCCCCCTGATGTAAACTGTAGGGAAGGGCGGCTATGGGCCCCTTTTTGGGAGGGTCCTTTATGTGGGGGCCTTCAGGAGGGTGCTTTATGGGAAAGGCTGTCAAGGCTAAGCCCAGTGTAAAGATAAAGTGCCTCAAAGGAGGAGGCCTGCTGGGCACCTGGCATTGCCCGCCAGGGGTCAGCTCCCCGACTGTGGGATGAGTGGACGGGCACATGGATCGCCCGGATAAAGTCTTGCTTACTATAATTCTTTTTTCTTGAAAAGGTAGTAAGTGCACCTGCATTTGAGTGTCCGTACACTTTATGCAACTCTCTGCCCTCTTCATCGCACGTTGAATTTCCTCTCACGTGGGCAATGTCTACGTGGCTGCCCTGTCCCCTTGTAGGGGCAGATCAGGACAAAGTTTCCTTCAGGGAAGCTCAGCATTCCTGGTCTTGCTTCCACGTTTGCCATTTATTATCTGTTGCTACCTTTTCCATCCCAAATTGCATAGGTGGGCCCAGGCAGACACAGTTCTCCTTCTCCCCACATTTTGTCCTCCTCCTCCTCCCCAGACACTTTCTCCTTTGAGCAACCCTGTGAGGTGGGCTTGGCTACAGAGCGGCTGGGTGCCTGGTCGCCCAGCAAGCTTCACAACTGCGCTGGGGCACAAACTGTGGTCGCCTCAATCTCAATCTGACCATTGTTGGCCACAAGGGCTCTCTCACTGAGCCTAATTTTAAAACCATGTGATGCTGATGTCTTGTAGCTGCACCTCCATGCCTATTTCTCTTGTTTCTCCTCGTTCTGGACTTCTGGGTTCAAACAGGGCTCCATGTCAGACAGACAGGCTGAAGGTGAAGTGTCTTGGTGGAACTGAAGATGGGTGAGAACGTAGCTTATCTGGGTGACAAGGCCAAGGTTTAGATAAGATACAGAAAAGTTGAGGTAACTTCCTTAAGGCTCTGAAATCTGTACTTTGTCCGAGACATTTAGAGGGTGGAACATCCTGTCTCAACTAAAGCAGGAGATTATGCATCTGTAATGCTTTCTGAAGCGATAAAACATGGGAGAATCTCTTTATTGTTCTGAGGCTGTTTGAGTATTACCCTCCAGGCAGTTTGAATGGGGAATTGGACTGACCTTCAGTGCCAGTCCAAGCTCAACACTTCCCCTGCCCCAGCACAGCAGCTCCAACTGTTGCAGTGCCCTTTGAAGGAACACAGCGCCATCATTTCCCCCTGTATTTGTTTCCCCCAGATTCCACTGGCTCATGTTGCCGTTTGAATGGGGAGTTGTGTGTATTGGAGAAAGCAATGAGATGGTGAGCCAACAAAGCATAATTTTGCTGTGGCAGCTCTTGCTCTCCTCGTTCCTTCCTCCTCCCCCTCCCACAACGCATAGACACCACCCCACGTCTCTTCTTAAGATGGCTTGCTAAAAATAGCAATTGCCAAAGCAACATTCATTCTGGGCAGCTTGGACTTGTGCATTCCAGATTTTATACACGATACACAGATACTTTCCAATTTGTCACAAG